GTTTCAATCAGTGATGTGCTTTATTTATGGATCGTTTCTTGCCTATACTTTCTTATACTTTCTTATACTTTCTTATACTTTCTTATACTTTCTCATACGTTCTTATGTTTTCTTATACTTTCTTATACTTTCTTATACTTTCTTGAAATTTGGAATAGTAAAAAAGAAAGAAAGTAAAGTTTTTATTCCAAACATTTGTTACTTTGTCAAACTTTGGCCCCGGCAAGAAACGACAAATGAAGATATATTTTTAAAAAATAATTAAAAACTAACGTGTTTTAGGAGAAATATATTGTTTAATAATGGCAATCTTTAACAAATTACAATCTTGAAACTTTAATCTAATTTTTTAACTTTCTATAAAACGATTAACAACACTAGTCTCAATAAATTTGCAGCAAATTCCCGTTTTAAGGATGAAAAACTTTCTTTATTTAACCTTTTCCCGTATTTTCCATAAGAAAGGCATTTGTTAAATGGGCCTTGAAGCAAAATCAGGCTGAACTGGGCAGATGTTTCCATAAATTCTATAAATGCAATTTGTTAAAGTTTATGCATTACGGAGAAAACTCGGACCGATAAACATGAAAATAATAAATATTGCAACTTTGGGATTTATTGCAGTGAACTATTTGATATTGATCATAATTCATTAATCTTTGATATTTTTTGTCAAATATTCAATTTAATGGGATTATAGAACAAAATAAATATTGATAAAAATAAAATAAGAAAATAAAGCAAAAAAATTGAGTCTGTACTTATCACTTGATCAACTTAGCGCCAAAAATATATATTTTTTAAATAGAACTCATAAATGACCTATAAAAACTATTTTTTTGACGTATCTAAATGAATGTTGATAATTGTTTAAAGGGAATGACCGGCAAGGTATAGTAGTTTAACTCAGAATGTAGTATTGTGGAGAACTTTTTTAAGGAATTATTTGAGACCGATGAGACGTTTTTACGGTGCATATTTGTTTAGCAAAAGTGCAAATTCAATCTTTAAAATTCTCATAGATACCTAATTTTTGAGGGATCATTTTGAGAATCGGGTTTTAAAAATTTATTTAATAACGACGACGACGAAAAATGTAGCAAAAATTCTTTAGTAAACTTATTAGTTGTTCAGGAACAGATTGAGAAAAAAAATTAACTATTATCATCGAAAATAAGTAATCTTATTCAGTTATTGGTTTCTATAATGTCTCATTGCTCATAGACATTTCTGTAAATTTCCTGTAATTTTTATTGATAAGACAACATTTGAAAAATTTGAAGATATCTGCAAACAAATTCATAAAGAATAAGAAATTCAATATAGTGATGAAAAAGAAATGATTGATTCTAGCATTGATTTATTGAAAAATATGTTCCTAAACATTATAATAAATCAAAATAATTAGTTTACTGATGAATTTTTTCACATTTTTGTCGTTTAATTATTCAAAGAAATTCGATTCTCAAAACATAACCACCCAAATAGATAATTTTGAACGCCGACTTTGCGCTCAAACTCAGTAATTATCCATCATTAAAACGTTTATTTGTCTAAATTGAATCCTAAAAAATGTTTCCAAAATACTACATTCTCAGTTCAACTTCTATACATTGCCGGTTACTCCCTTTTACGTAGCCAGGGTATAGCACGTGTGTATTGATTAAGGATGTATATCTATATTCAGTTCATGTTTACCACCATCCATCCTTCCCTTTGTTTCAAGATTCAAGAACTCATAATCAGACTCAAACCCAAGATATTCAACAGATAATGCTTTCTCCGGGGGGGGGGGGGTTAATAATTGCAAGCTTTATTCATTATGCAAACATAGCAGAGTACTCCAGCTACTCATAATACAAACATAGCAGAGTACTCCAGCTACTCATAATACAAACATAGCAGAGTACTCCAGCTACTCATAATACAAACATAGCAGAGTACTCCAGCTACTCATAATACAAACATAGCAGAGTACTCCAGCTACTCTTAATACAAACATTAGTTTCAAAATTCTAACCAAAGATTTCACAGATGCGATTTTTAACAATAGATATAGAAGATACGACAGGAGATGGTATACTTTAAGTACAAACATTAGTGTTCAACCATAGATATCGCAGATACGACAAGAGAAGGTACTCAATGCAGACATAATATATAGTTTCTAGCCATAGATAAAGCAGATATGACAGGAGAGCGTTCTCCTAATTCAGGCAATAGTTTTCAACCATAGATAAAGCAGATACGACAGGAGAGGGTACTCCTAATACAGACATTAGTTTCTAATCATAGATAAAGCAGATAAGACAGGAGAAGGTACTCCTAATGCAGACATTAGTTTTTTACCATAAATAAAGCAGATAAGACAGGAGAAAGTACCTTGGAAGAATAACAGTGAAAAAGCATATCTGCTCGAATTATAGGTTGGCGCTCTTTAGCTTCTATATTTATGCAGGGGGGGGGGGGTAATTTTACTAAAATGAAGTAATTTATTTGTCTGTAAAATGTATGTATTCTGCACAACTTGTCCTGGCTGCCTAAAAGGCTGCCCGGTACTTTAAAAGACCGAAGGTTTTAATACCGGGGTAGGGGGGGGGGTTTATTTAAAAACTTAATATGGATCAGGTGTTCTTTTGTGACTGAATTATTTGACAGGGTTTCAGGGTTACTCATTTTTAAATAAGTCTCCTTTCGTCTAATGGCTAACAAAGAAAATGGAAATGTTAAAAAAAAAATCTTTAGTCCTTAGATTTCCGAAACCCCTTTTTTTACTGATTATAAAAATTAAAAATCTTTAAATACTCTTTTCCGTATTAGGAGATATTCTGTCCCAGAGCTTGTCAGACAATGTAAAACATTTATAGCGCATGAAATGCATTTATTATGCATTCATTATTCAGTCCCTAGTTAATTTAAATTGAACCCTAAAACACAGTGCGCAACCAGAATGTAAAACTAGAGTAACCGGTTTACCACAAATGATTTTTTTTATTGTAAACTCTGAAGTTCGATGATGATATATTATATACGATATATGCATTAATTTTGCTATTATTTTCCCACTTTCATGAAACACACAGATCTTTGACATTTCTACAATCGTTGTATGTACATACATACAACATACTTCAGTTGTACTTACTAGTCTAGACTACCCAGTGTAATGTCGAAATAGCACGTTTTATGCAAGGAATGTCGTCTGGCAAGATCACAGTGCTTATTTTCTGATTTTAGTATATAATTGAAGATAATTGGTCCAACTTCATATTGAATTCATATAAAAGTTTTATGTAATAATTGTATACAAGTTTTATGGCTTCTTATATACAAATTACATTTATCGTTCTGTAAATGTTAAATTAATTGTATATATTTAAGCACACGTGCTAATAAAGTTCCCGGATTTTCTTTTAAAAAATTAGGATATTTCTATTATACACTGAACCTAGACTAACGATCTTGTCTTTTTATTACGTTTATCCTTTTCTTAACCTTTAGGATAGACCCCATGTTGATAAAGATAGAGCTAATTTATAATTATCAGACACTGTCTGTAAACTGCACCTGGGACTAGCGATGGGCATAGATTTTTTTTTTAAATAATGTTGGTTTCTTTTTTTGAATTGTTTCGAACTACTGTTTTTTTTTGCTTTTTTATTTGCGAGAATAAACAATTTGAAAAGTGTAAAAAAGCAAAAAGCAACCTCATAAAACATTAGATTTTAGATATATAAACATCTCGGACTAGATTTTAGATATATAAACACCTCAGATTAGATTTCAGATATATAAACATCTCGGACTAGATTTTAGATATATAAACATTTTGGACTAGATTTTAGACATATAAACATCTCGGACTAGATTTTAGACATATAAACATCTCGGACTAGATATTTGATATACAAACATCTCGGACTATAACCTGTTAAAAAGTCCAAAAGGAACTTTAAAAACAAAACAAAAAATACAATGTCCAGCTCTAGGGGCTAAAACCTTCCTTCTTTAAAAATAAAATACTTCACTTCTTTATTTCCATTAAAAACGAGACAGAATTTAAACCGCGTTGCTGAACCGCCAAAAACCGGTTCCGATTGAGCGCCGGCTAAAATCTCGAATATTAAGTACAATTTTAAGTGGAACTAACCATGAATGAGCCGCGTCTCAAATTTGAGACACGGTTCAAATTCTTAAAATTCGGCTTCTGGACACATTAAAATCTTATAGATCGAAAAGCAAAAATGAAAATTTGACTTTTTAAAAGGATTGTCACTTGTTTTAACTAGACATATTGGAACATGGAATTATCCATAATTAAAGAATGTACAAAAGATTACTTCTCTCAAATTCTAATTTCTTAATCTATTTAGCTTTACTAGATGATGTCGTCGTAGACCTTATATCTAGAAATATAAAATTGAATTATCTCTGTTTGTTTGTTTGGATGCCCGATCATAGCTCAGGTACCCCAGGACCAATTTGCCTACAATTTTGATTGGAAACTTAAAAGGTCCACGGGAAAATGTTTTACATTGTCACTGCTGCATGAATCCGCAAGTCGTTTTTCAAAGAAACAATTTGTTGCCAAAAAAGAGATAAATAATTTAACCATTGTCAAACTAAGGTTTAAATTGGGTACCGTTGTGAATTAGATATACTCTAGTTAAAGAATGATGGTAACATGGAATTGCATCTTCGCTCTCTTCAATGCTCTGTTTAAACAGCATTTGTATATATGTTCCCTTTAGCCGACTGGACCGAATGGGCTGAAATTTTTTGTGGACACTCATGGGTAGCCTTGAGGTGACATAGGCTAAAAAAAAAATTTTAAAATTCTCCACGGGCAACACCGCGCCATTAATCTTGTAAGTAGTAAATATATAGATAAAAGTGAAAATTACATATTTGTGGTATTCATATATTGTGCAGGGTACCATGCCTGAAATACAAAGTTAATTTATACAAATCGTAAAACTAACTAACTCCAACAAAGTGAAAAATGTCTGTGTCTGAATAGCGTGAGAGACCTAAATTAAATACCAACAGAACATAGACCAACAAAATGTATTTATTGCATAGCAAATACAAAAAAATCTACATTAAATAGGTAAAATTGTGTTCTAAAGCTAAGATTCACTAGAATTTTTACCAGAACCTCTAGTTTACCGTGGTATAGAACTTTAACCTGAAGAACCTCTAGTTTACCGTGGTATAGAACTTCAACCAGGATCTCTAGTTTACCGTGATATAGAATTTCAACCAGGATCTCTAGTTTACCGTGGTATAGAACTTTAACCTGAAGAACCTCTAGTTTACCGTGGTATAGAACTTCAACCAGGACCTCTGATTTACCGTGGTATAGATATTTAACCTTCAGGACCTCTAGTTTACCGTGATAAAGAACTTCAACCAGGACCTCTAGTTTACCGTGGTATAGAACTACAACCAGGACCTCTAGTTTACCGTGATAAAGAACTACAACCAGGACCTCTAGTTCACCGTGGTATAGAACTTTAACTAGGACCTCTAGTTTACCGTGATATAGAACTACAACCAGTACCTTTGGTTTACCTTGGTATAGAACTTAACCAGGACCTTTAGTTTACCGTGGAATAGAACTTAACCAGGACCTCTAGTTTACCGTGGTATAGAACTTCAACCAGGACCTCTAGTTTACCGTGGTATAGAACTACAACCAGGACCTCTAGTTTACCGTGATATAGAACTACAACCAGGACCTTTAGTTTACCGTGGTATAGAACTTCAACCAGGACCTCTAGTTTACCGTGGTATAGAACATGGTTGATATGATATTTAGATTATGTATGATCTTGTGTTGTGTAATGTGAAGGAATATGAGGAATATGAAGGGTTCTAGGATATTAATTATTAAATTGTTCTACTAAAGGTTTTAGGCTTAATGTATTCTATATCAGCTCCGGAGCTAGACATGGTTCAACTAGTCAACCTGTATTTAAAAGGACTGTAAACGTAATCAAGTGACCCTCCATGCAAAGATGGGAATTTCCAATTCGCAATGGTACTTTTGAAACCTTTATCTGATCAATATTGTGGAAGATATTATCGCTTTCTAGCTTGAATTATTACTACAGGATGTATTAGCTCCTGTAGATGGATCTACTATTATTGTATTCTATATTACAGGATGTATTATCTCTGGTATATATATGGTTTTACTACTCAACATGTATTTAATGTATTCTATATTACAGGATGTATTATCTCTGGTAGATGGTTCTACTACTCAACATGTATTTAATGTATTCTATATTACAGGATGTATTATCTATGGTATATGGTTCTACTACTCAACATGTATTTAATGTATTCTATATTACAGGATGTATTATCTCTGGTATATGGTTCTACTACTCAACATGTATTTAATGTATTCTATATTACAGGATGTATTATCTCTGGTTGATGGTTCTACTACTCAACCAATCTTAGACATAATGGCTCTCCGGGTAGGTTATTTTATTACATAATGTTTTTTTTTAATTTTACCTTTATTTCATAAAAAAATATCATTAATTTTAAAAGAAAATTTATGGACAAACTTTTCATTTTACTTTACTTTAGGGTCCTTTAATCCAACATATCTCAATTCTTTAAGAGATCTTGAAAACAAACATAAACGTAATGATAAAAATAAGAATAGTTCAAAAAACTTTCTGTTTGATGTTCCAAATAAATTTTAAAAATGGCGAAGTGGCTATAAATACTGTACATTTTCCGTTTAAGACTTAAAAATAGTAAAGTCTTAAAATCAGGGGGCGGAAACGTCATGTATGTGTGTCTGTATCAAAAGAGTGTGTGTAAGTGATAACGAACCGATTGGTGGATTTTCTGTATATGTAAACGTTTTTATCGGAAATATCACGCGCAATCAAAAGTTTCAGCCTCTGAGCTTTTAAGTGCAGAAGAATGATTTAAACTACATTCTCTAATGTTTCTTCATCAATCTTCGATTAATCTTAGTATTTGTATTTAGTATTTAATTTAGTTCTAGTTTCACCAATATCACTGTATTTCCACTTCCAACTGATAACAGAGTTATAAGGAATAGAGAACAAATGTACTTGAGTACAAGCGGAATCAGAGTACAGATGTACTTAAGTACAAGCGGAATCAGGTAGATAAGGAATAGAGTACAGATGTACTTGAGTAAAGATGTACTTGAGTACAAGCGGAATCAGGTAGATAAGGAATAGAGTACAGATGTGCTTGAGTACAAGCGGAATCAGGTAGACGTAGATTTAGAGAGTTATAAGGAATAGGGTACAGATGTACTTGAGTAAAAGCGGAATCAGGTAAATTTAGATTTTAAAAACACTTCTCACACTAGAGACGCTATGAAATAGATACATACCCTGTAAAAGAAAGCAATCGAATCATGTGACATTTTTTAGCTTTCTACAGACTTAGTGACATCAACGCCGGAATATTAATTAAAATGTACTCAAGGGTAAGGGGTTCCAGCTAGACCAGGCATGTAATGGGGGAAGGCCGAAGGGATGGGGGTGGGAGATGTGGACTCTATATTTCTCTATTCCCCTGATGTATAATGGAAGAAGATGGACTCTATATTTCTCTATTCCCCTGATGTATAATGGAAGAAGATGAACTCTATATTTCTCTATTCTCCTGCTGTATAATGGAAGAAGATGGACTCTATATTTCTCTATTCCCCTGATGTATAATGGAAGAAGATGGACTCTATATTTGTCTATTCCCCTGATGTATAATGGAAGAAGATGAACTCTATATTTCTCTATTCTCCTGCTGTATAATGGAAGAAGATAATGGAACGAGAGGATAAGATTACTTCTCTCAATGTCCAATAATCTACTAAACAAAAAATACAAAAAAAAGCTTTTTAAAAAGTTTCTGATTTGAATAATTCTGCAAGTAATTCTAGCTGAAATTTTGAAGATCTGAATAGGCATTAAAAGTTGCATGTGATCAGCTCAGCTTTTTATCAACGGAAGAATATTTTTTATATTTTCTTTAAAAATTAAATCTAAAAAAATAAGACATTAAATATTGATAATAGCATCTTATCATCTCAGCTTACTCGTTTGAAACTTACTTGGAATAAAATGTAAGGTTTATTCTTATGCTTTGATTGTTACTTCTCAGTAGGTAAGGGGCAAGGTTGTAATGCAAGGAAAGTCATTTCAGAGGTGTGCGCATCTTTGGTAATGCAAACACAAGACGGATGTCGAAGCCTGACATGGGATCCATCTTTCACATAAAAAAATCAATGAAATATTCTGGTCATAGGAAACTATCAAGTGAATTATCAAAATTATCAAAATTCAATGCTTTCAACCTCCTCGGATACTAAACGAACACTGATGCATCTATTCTTGTTTACAAATTTCGCCCAGAGAGAACTGGTTTCAATATATGTACGCAGAGTATACGCAACTGCAATTAACTTTCCTTGCATTATAACCTTGGTAAGGGGTGAGTTAGTTTAGTTTTCACTAGTGTACTGTATTTGTATATTACTCATTATTAACTGTATTAACTGTATTTGTTTATTACTCAATTTTAAAACTGTTCCCGCGCATGCATGGCTACTTATTTATCAAATACTGAGATTTACGTAAATTAGTATGAAACCCATTGAAAAATTGTCGAGACAACATTTGATAAATTCGTTCGATGTATGGCTCATTTAAGGTTTAACCATAGTGTACTGTATTTGTATATTACTCAATTTCACTGAGATACAAGGAAAAGGTTTTAAATGAAGAGAGAGTGGATATCGAGATCTAGCGATCGGTATTATATAAGAATCCAGCAAAAAAATTTCCCCTTCAGATCTACAAAATTTTATACAGGAAAAGTTATAAATATCGAAGGTTTGCATAATATATCAGGTTGCAGAGATATAAGGATTTTAAAAATCGAGTTTGAGGCAAGTTGTGAGCTCTTTTTTCTTTAGGTCTACAGTGAGAAACCCTCAAAACCAGAGATAAAAACTGCAGTTTATAATTCAGGACTTCATTATTACAACCTTCAACATCAGAACAGGTGAACCACATGAACCGCATTTGAATAAAAATTTATTGTAAATCAATAAGGAAATAATGGTTTGGATTATTACAAGAATATCTTCACAAACTGAGAAACTAACCTTTTGCAAATAAAATACCATGTGACTTAAAGATGATTTCATCTTTTTTACACAACTGAACAAAAGGAATTGAGTCTTTGTCGCAAACTTTGATTTATAATCCCTATATCATTGCAACCCAATGACCTTAGATATTTCAAACTATGAATTCTGTTAGATCTAATTATCTAAGCTTGAATTATCAAAGATGTACACCATCAGGTTGCAAAGATATAGGTATTAAAAAAAATTTGCGTCAAAGACTCAATTCCTTTCTTGTCTATTCCTATTTATTTTTAATACATAATATCTCAGTAGACCTTATTTTAAATGACCCTTTGTTTTTAGAGTGGCATGTCGATTTCCTACTTTACCCTTAAAGGGACAGACCCACGTGGATTTAACGGTTCTGTCAATATTCCAGAAAGCTGTGACTTTCGATCACAATTTGACCCATCAAACAAAATTTTTTAGTCTTTTTTCTTAAATACTTTTTTGTCCGCATATGCATTTTGAATTAAAGGTATAAAACAAATCCGTAAGTTTAAAGATTGTTTAATTATAGACCAAAACGCGTATAATTTCAAATAGAAGAAACCGAATGCCTCTCACTCTGGTTAGTCCGGTGTGGACCGGCTATGTAAGGTAGTTGAACTGAGTATGCAGTGTTCTGGAGACATATAAAACTTTATAAAGATCTGTAAATCCTGAGTTTGAGCGCAAAGTCGACGTTCAAAATCGTACTTTTGGGTGGATACGTTTTCAGAATTTTTTTTTTTAATTATTAAATAACGACGACATTTGAAGAAATTTTAGAATCTGCGAATAAATTCATAGAAAATAAGAAATTCAATATAATCATAAAACCGAAATAATTGATTCTATCAATTGACAAATTTCTTTAGAGAAATATGTTCCTAAACATCTAATTAGTTTTTTCGTCGTCGCTGTTTAAAAATTTAAACAAAAAACGATTCTGAAACGTAACCATCCAAATTCATGAATTTGAACGTCGACTATGCACTCAAACTCATGGTAATTATACATCTTGGAGACGTTTTATATGTCTCAAATTAATCCTAAAGAATTTGTCCACAACACTGCATACTCAGTTTAACCACCTTACATAGCCGGTCTGTCCCTTTAAAATCTTTGTCTAATTAAGTATGAATTAGTTATCAATTTTATCCATCGGACATGGAGGATCACTTTAAATTAGGAATCAGTCCCTTTAACACTGAATTGACTTGATGTTGATTATTTAGGGATGTGTTGAGTATCCTATCTACTGAGTTCGATAAAACTATCAGAGATAAAATACTTACTACTGAGCTAGTTAATAATATCCATATGATATTTAACCAACCTGAACCTGAGCAAGAGATATCTACGCCAGTTCAAACCAAGGACTTCAATGCACTTGATGTAAGTCAATGTTTATAAGCTTTGATTTAAAGAATTACTCACAAAGGATATGACTTCAGAAGTTCATAGACGACTGTCCATATCTTAACTTTTGAACGTTTTATATCATTTAGCTTATCCTTAAACTAAAATTCCAGGCCGAGAATAAAAAATTCAATCTTCAGAACGTCATACTTTTTTATTTTATATTTTGTATTCAGGTCGTCATTTAAGGCTCATTCTTTGTAGATAACTCTATATATGGAAACCGTCTAAACTGTGAACTTATAATATATTTTAGCTCGAATTCTAAATTTTAAATAGTTATCTAAAGTTTCAAATTTTAAAGTTCAAGGCGATACCTATTTCAGCGTATTTTTAATAAAGCTTAAGAAATTTAGTTACAATTTTAGTCCAGCATTTTTGGACAGGGTTTTACAAAAAATATCAGGCTTGAAAAATGATAAAGTTGCTGTATTAAAAGGACAGACCGGCTATGTATGGTAGTTAAACTGAGTATGCAGTGTTGTGGAAAAATTGTTTAGGATTTGAAACATATAAAACGTTTCCACGATGTATCATTACTAAGTTTGACAGTCGACGTTCAAAATCATGAATTTGGGTGGATACGTTTTCAGAGTCGGTTTTTTTTAAATTATTAAATGACGACGAAAAATATAGTAAAAATTCTATATTAAACTAATTAGATGTTTAGGAACATATTTCTCAAAAGAAATTTGTCAATAAATCGAAGTTAAAGTTAATTATTTCCTTTTTCATCATTTTATTGAATTTCTTATTTTCTATGAATTTGTTCGCAGATTTCTTCAAATTCTTCAAATGTCGTTTCTTTAATAAAAATTTCAGAAAATCTTTGTGATTTAAGAGAAATTATAGAAACTAATAATTGAATAAGATTACTTATTTTCGATGATAAGATTAATTTTTATTTTCTCAAACATGATCCGAAACAACTAATAAGTTTACTGTAGAATTGTGTTTACATTTTTGTCGTCATTATTCAATTCTGAAAACGTATTTACCCCAAAGACGATTTTTAACGTCGACTTTGCGCTCAAACTCAGGAGTTACAGATCTTAAAAAAGTTTTATATGTCTCAAATGAATCCTAAAGAATTTGTCCACAACACCATGCATACTCAGTTCAACTACCTTACATACCCGGTCTGTCCCTTTAAATTAACTGAAATACGTAAAGGAGTTGAGTCTTTGCCACAAACTCCGATTTGCTACTCTTTATCAACACTGTTAGATCAAATAATCTAATTTCGAAACATTAAAGGTATACACCATCAACTGTTGCAAACATATATATGATCGAAAATTTGAGTTTGTGGCAAAGACTCAATTTCTACCAATCACAGTTATATGTTCTTTGGATATTATTATATTTTTCAATGTCGAATTTTTCAGAATTTCTATTTGGAACATTCGTAAATAAAATAGATTTTTTAAAATTTATATCTATCACGCATGTTTTTAATCTATATCTATCACGCATGTTCTTAATTTCACACTGTAGGCTTACAATGCAAACTGCAGGCAAGCAGGGACAATTTAAACTTGGTATAATTAGATTCAACTTGTCTAAACTTACCGAACTCAATCTAATGTATTCCTCCAGTCCTTTAGTCCTATATAGTAGCACCGTAGTTTAACTATCATGAGATTGCATGTGAAATAAAATCCTTCTTTATAATTGGATCAGACATATTGGATTAAAAAACAGACTTGAAAAATTTCTAATAAAAGTTTCTTTTAATTTTCTTTTTCATAATCACATACAACTTCTATTTAGATGTCGACTTATCTGGGAAAAAACGTTCAAATCAAATTGTATTCATTTATATCTTAATTATGTTATCTTTTTTTACTAGGGGTTAAAGGAGCCGGAGGGGGGGGAGCATCGACACGAAATTTTAAATTTTCACCTTCAGGTTAAAAACAAATTCAAGATTAATTATTATTTTTTTTAAATTAAGTTGTATTCTTTAGGTGCTAGACCATCTCAGAATTGAAGTAGAGAAGGTAAAAGAAGGATTGGAACCTAACAAAAAACAAGCAGTTGAGCTCGCCATTCAGAAAGAGGTAAATAACTTGAAGAGGTAAACCCCTAGAAGAGGTAAACTCCTAGAAGAGGTAAACTCCTAGAAGAGGTAAACTCCTAGAAGAGGTAAACTCCTGGAAGAGGTAAGCTCCTAGAAGAGATAAACTCATAGAAGAGGTAAACTCATAGAAGAGGTAAACTCCTAGAAGAGGTAAACTCCTAGAAGAGGTAAGCTCCTAGAAAAGATAAACTGCTAGATAAGTTAAAAACTTAGATAAGTTAAAAGAGGTAAACTTCTAGAAGAGGTAAACTACTAGAAGAGGTAAACTCCCAGATGACTGAAATAAAAAAAATAATAATTCAAAACCTCAGAAGGAAAATGTCAAATAGTTAAACTTCTGAGATGTTTTAAACAAATAAAGAAACGTGTATTGTACTCCATAGAATAGATTTTAAAATGTAAATAGATTTTAATCTATTTCCTTTTCCAACCTTAAAAGCTAAATTATTTGAAAAGAATCCTTTAATATAAACCTGAAACCTGGTAAACCTAGTATTCATCTCTACACAGTACAAAGGATTGAATCACAGAGAGATATTAGACTCCACCACTCTTCAAACTCAAGCTTTTAATTTAACAATACTCATGCTGGGTTCATGTGGTTGGAAAGGGGAGAGGGATTTTTTTAAAAATAGATAAACTTGTAACAAACGCCTTACTCCAATAGTTTCTTTTAAGTCTGTATCGTTCAGCTACAAATTGCTCTAGAAACTCAATGTTCTACAATAATACTTTAATCTGTATTAATCCAGATGTATTCTTCAATGTGTATCGTACAGATACAACTCGCTCTCGAACTCAATGTCTGATCAATAAAATTTTAGTCTGTATCAATCCAGATACGATTCAATATGTATTCTTCTGTATATATAGTACAGATACAACTTGAGCTGGATGCTTTCTACAAGAGAAATAATATGTGTCTTAACGTAATAAAGCAAAGATCCATATCCAATTAATCTATATTTAAATTATTGATTGGTTTTATAGTACATGTTAATGATATGGACCGATAGGTTTTCTCAGAAATTAATGAACGTAGTTAGGGTACAGATAATGTTATAACTGTTTCGCTACTTAGCGATTTCCCTAAAGACCTAATATATGTACCGTGTGGTATTTCTCAGGATTGGATCGTAAGACTCCCTTCTCTCAACGCTCTTCATAATAAAAGGAGAATAGTAAGGTTCCGAACGTTTATTTCTCTGAGCCTTCAATCTAAACAAGTTTAATAAACCCACAGAAAAAGCTTTGAGTGAAAATCATACAAATATAACAAATAATCCACTCAGGCATTAAAAAACTGTGGCTAGGAACCAATAAACAAATACATAATCATCAATCATACTAGAATCAACCAATAAACATAGATATATATAAAATAATTACCACGGTGATCCCAGAATTCTGAACACGGAAAATACTTGCAAAACGAATAAACATATACTGAATATAAATTGAACTACTACTCCGCGAGAAATCTTGCGTCTGCGCAGTCGGACTGTAAACAGTTCCTAAACTAGTTTTCTTTCACAATACATTCCGTACAGATCTTCAGGAGAAACTCAGAAATACGCAGGGGCGACAAACAGACTTTCTATACGCAGCATGGCTCGCGTAACATGTTCAGAAGATTATAAACTGAACATTATTCAACTCTGTTATGATAAACCAAACGTATATATACAGTAATAACTAGAAAACTCTGGAATAGGAAGATGACTTTGAGACTCATGTTATGACTTTGATTGCATGGGGACACAGAAATTGTTCAACGTAAACAGGTCCATTTCACTCAATTAGTTATTTAGTAAGTGAATAGTACAACTAGTTGATAATTTATAACAACATCAAGTACACCTAAGTATTGCTATAAAGTCGTCTTCCTATTTCGAACTTTTCTGGTTATCACTGTATGTAAATATTTGCATACTAATTTGTTCTACTTTTTATATTAACATTGGTTCCATTTAGTCTCCAGTATACTAAATAACCATTGCAGACTGCAGAAACCATTAGTGTTAAGTCAAGTAATATAGGAAAACATCATTTGTGGACAGTCAGAAGAAAATAGTCTCTACGACGTATAGAGACGATGCAAAGCAAAAAGTGCATGATATCTATATATATTAAGTGGTAATCTCTGTAAGGGTGTCTGTCTGTCGTTTGAGTGGATCTCCAATCATAACTCATGAACTTCTTGACCAATTTGCCACAAATTTAGATTGGGGAACTCAGGATGTAGTAAACACTTACTCCATAACAAGTTCTCGAACGTATCTATCCAGGTCAGTCCGCTATCAAACTCAACCAGTACTAAATCCCAGGCTCTAAATGCCACACAAGTTTACACGCGTGGTTATTAAAATCCAGCTACTAACACAGTGCTTTGCATGCAACGCAAGGACATAAGCCTAGCTATCAATAAGCTAAATATATACCAATCCCAAATTCTGGGGATGATCCGTTCTAAATGTCTCATAAGGACACAAGCCTATCTATCAACAAGCTATAAGTCTATCCCAAATGATGGGGACGATCCGCTATAAGTGTCTCACATTGACGCAAACCTATCTATCAACAAGCTATAAGTCTATCCCAAATGATGGGGACGATCCGCTCTAAATGTCTCACATTGACGCAAGCCTAGCAATCAACAAGCTATAAGTCTATCCCAAATGATGGCGACGATCAACTCTAAATATCTCACAGTGACGCAAGCCTAGCTATCAACAAGCTATAAGTCTATCCCAAATGATGGGGACGATCCGCTCTAAATTTCTGACAGTGACGCAAGCCTAGCAATCAACAAGCTATAAGTCTATCCCAAATGATGGGTACGATCCGCTATAAATGTCTGACAGTGACGCAAGCCTAGCAATCAACAAGCTATAAGTCTATCCCAAATGATGGGGACGATCCACTCTAAATGTCTCACAGTGACGCAAGCCTAGCTATCAACAAGCTATAAGTCTATCCCAAATGATGGGGACGATCCACTCTAAAAGTCTGACAGTGACGCAAGCCTAGCTATATATCGCTTCAAAAAATAAAAGCGGACGATCTACCTGAATACAAGCTTCAAGGTTTCAGGTTTACTCTCTCGCAGTAAACAGTACGGAGTTACTCTATAGAACTAATTTTTTTTATATCTAATGTCACAAAGTTAACAGGAATTGACGTAGTTACAATTCCTATGATATTATCTACATTACATGATTAAGACCATCATATTATGTATTTATCGCACATTTAAAGTTTAATCTACATATTTATAAGATTAGAGAGAATAGATATAATGCAGTTAATCTATCTTTGAACATGTTTATATCGTAATTTAAGTATGTCGCATGATTTAAGCTAATCATGTTAAGTATTTAATTGAAACGCTGTTTCAATGAATATTGCCATTATGTCCAAGTTTACAATATTATATTATTAATATGTACAACGTACTTCAGCTTTGCAGAAAATCATGTTTCCACGATTTTTGCTACAAGGAGAACCACGGTTTAGTTTAATAATTCTAAATTGAATTTTTTCATATGGCGTACCAAAATGATAGGTAATCTTCATATCATAAAAATTCATTTACGTGACCTAGAGCTAGTCAAGATATTGTTAAAATATATTGTTTTGTAAAAACTGTAGATTCTGATTGTAGCGACCAGATGTCGTCTTCTATACAGAAAGAGGAAAGCCGTGAACAAGAAAACAGTCTGCAATCCAGTAGCTAGTAGTTCTTAAGCGTGTACAGAATCAGATGTACTCCATATTTACTCAAATAAATATATGTTTAAACCTTTCCTGAGCTCTGTGTTGGAGAGATGCTAAAATATTGGGTTTTCAGTTCTATAGTGGCTGTGTCAATATATATTTGATTATACCCCGCAGGGTAACAATCAAAAATCCTTAATCCAGTTTGCTTTACAGTATTCTCAGCAAATTGTACTTAATAAAGAGCAATATAGAAGACACCCAATCCTTCACCATTCAACAGGGTTTCAGTAAAAGTTCATCACATTGAGTTGAGAAACCATTTTTTTGTTGATGTACATTTTGAATTTTAAAAATCAAAGACGATATTTTTGTGTAACAGAGGGAAAAAAGGGATATCTTTTCAACGTGCCTCGAAAAAGAATTTTTTGGTTGTACATTTTAATTCATCATTGAAAATCCTTGTAAGAGTGACCCCCCCNAAATCTTGTCTGTATATCAACACATGTTCAGTCGTATTTTTCCTCTCATTCAAAATCTGTGGAAAATAGTGTTAAAAGCGTACACGTAAGATATATAAGCCAACCAAAAAGTGCGCAAAAGCAAATACAAAAAATATTCATTTAGAGGGGTGCATGGTGCAAATAGGTTTCAACATTTAGAAAGGTGCAAATAGGTTCCAAACTTGAGGCTCAATATCCAGAACCCCTAGTTTACTGTGCCCTCCCCCCCCCCCCCCCCCGGCCACGGTGGGGTATTTTAGGGGTTAGGGAGGTTGACTCGTTTTTGTCACAATACTTAAAATGCATTTGTTTTGTGTTTCATGTTGAGAATAAACAAAATTAACATATTTCATTTACAAACATTGTTTCAATTGTAGCTTTGATTGATTTATATTGATTTCAATTTATAACTATTTTTCCCGTTCAGATATAAGTATATACTATAAAGCAAAAATACGAGAAAACACAGCCTGGCAGTTTCGGGATAATCTAAATATATAAATAGATTCTAACAGCCATATAGAAAAGATTTAGGGGCCCCGGTAGCACGCCTAAACCTTATTGTAGTCAGAGTAGCTGGTTAAAATATCCTTTTTTGAGTTGTCAATCAAAAAGCGAGTTTTCGTTCGAGATTCTTAAATATAACATAACATTTAAACAACTTAGAGACTTCGCTCAGACAAAATTCTTAGGCGGGAATCCTTATTTGACATAAATAAGAGGTTTATGGAATTAACTCATTTTGCCCCCTCCTCCCAAACTTTGACCAACACCACGTAAATTTTGAAACAAATTAATTTGAAACAAGTATTCTAACTTTATCGTTCTTAGTTTTCTTCCCAACTTTGTTGAAAGGCGGCTCATTTTTCTTCGCTCACTTTAAATACCTTCAACTTTCTTAACTTGAAAGTAGAGAAGTTGAGACAACATTTTGCAAACATTTATCATAATTATTTGGTGCACTTTCCTTAATACAGACACAGTTCAGGTTATTTCTAGATATAACAAACTTTTAGACGATGAAGAAATTTAAAAAAGAAAAATTTAAGCCTTTTTTCAAAAAAATTTTAAACATTATTTTATCGAATTTTTAAAAAGAAAATCCAATTAAACTTTACTTTTGTGTGGGACATCACGTGAACCCAAGGTAGGTTTCTGGATGATTAAAATAATCCGATTTTCATTTTATTTTGAAAATCCACATTTTTTTATGAAATCCGCGAATTTTTGTCCGCGTTTGTTTTTCAATCTATGCAAATAGAAAAAGTTCACAATTGTTTGTAAGCCTAGTATTATAATTTACCAAAGTAAAGCTAGTAAAAGAATAGTGCATAACATTTAATTTTATATTAGTAAAGTCTTATATTCTATATTTTGTATTTTGTATTTTATATTACTGTTTCTTTTATAATTCAAGTTTTCATTAAAGCTCCTTGATCAATATTTGCTTTGTCTGAAATAAAAGAAAATCTGGTTTTTCTCAGAAAAGCTAAGTCTACATTTATGATTTTGTCTTTTATCAATTTCTCAAATAAAAGCTAAATATTATATTTAATTTTTTTACACACCTTTAGCTGACCAAACCAGAATACATCTGTTTTAATACTTTTTAGGGACAATATTTTTCTAGTTTTAAGGGACAATATTTTTCTAGTTTTAAGGGACTATATTTTTCTAGTTTTAAGGGACAATATTTTTCTAGTTTTAAGGGACTATATTTTTCTAGTTTTAAGGGACAATATTTTTCTAGTTTTAAGGGACAATATTTTTCTAGTTTTAAGGGACTAATTTAATTTTTTTAGTTTTAAGGGACTAATTTTTTTAGTTTTAAGGGACAATATTTTTCTAGTTTTAAGGGACAATATTTTTCTAGTTTTAAGGGACAATATTTTTCTAGTTTTAAGGAACAATATTTTTCTAGTTTTAAGGGACTAATTTTTTTAGTTTTAAGGGACTAATTTTTCTAGTTTTAAGGGACTAATTTTTTTTAGTTTTAAGGGACTAATTTTTTAGTTTTAAGGGACTAATTTTTCTAGTTTAGAAATTAACAAAGGAATTAATGATGAATATTTGTCGGCACTTCATGGGAGTGTTGTAGAGCTTCATGTTGGTGGAGCAGATCAACAGGAACTGGAACAACAGGGCTTATCAATGGAACTAAGGAAATGCAACTCGAGATAGCGGAAACTTTGGTCGGAGCCAGGTATATGTTTCCTAAGTAAGCTTCTCAAGAAATTACTAGGGAGATCAGAGGTATAAGCATGCCTGCTGTTAGCTGAGTATCTGTATCATCATCATGAAGGAGTCAAGAGGCTCCCTGTGTCGGAGCTGTTACTAGCCCAACTCTCCTAACCTGACTGAGGGGCTGGGATGTGTATAGGGGTGGAGGGGGGAACGAAGGAGCCAGGGTGACATGTGGGCGGACCGGCGGAAATAGATTCACATGTCTTGAACATAGTCAACGGCATCTGAGTCGGGGTAAAATTGTCTTCCTTATATTTCGAATTTGTGTTAACAACTATATTTTTCTAGTTTTAAGGGACGTGAAATTTAAAAATAGGGGCCCTGCCTAATTCACAACGGTGCATACCTTCATCTGAAGTTAAAGTTTGTCTGATCCTGAAACTTGGTATAAGGAGGCGTTGCATCTATGACATTTTTCAATATCTCAGAAAATAATGGTGTTAGCCGGTTCTACTTTTGCATTTATAATCGTCTGATGATCTAGGAACAGGATATGACGTCAAATCTTTGATATCTCCGTTCGGAGACCGGAGATATGGGATAAGGTACCTCCGTCGGCTCCGATTTTTTATCTCCGGCACCAATGAACTTACAGAGCCCAAATTCAACACACATATGTAATAGATGCAATGTCTCCTTTTGACGATTTATTTGTTTCTACGGTAGAACTCCACAAGTCACTTTTACCACAATAGAATCAAATTTTCAAAGAGAAATCCAGGGATATCTTATTCATTTTTGGGCAGACAAAGCTTTTAAAGGTACCATTGGGAGTCAGACTTAATCTCTAAAAATTGAGATTCACTTTGTATCACATCTTTGTGTCCCTTTCAATCTCTTTGATTTTTAAATAAGTTTGTTTTCTGTTTTATATTTAATTCTTTTCGATATATTTATTTAAAGGACTAGAACATTACAGAAATAAGTTTTTCTTTCTGGCATTTCTGGCTTTTTGCATTTCAAACAAAAACCCTATCAATCGTTTTTTTATATTTTCGTTTTCAAAGAAGACAAAATTATTTTTAAAATTGTTCATCAATTTTAAAGATTATAAACAATTCCCGAAATCCCCTGGCGGCCGGCACTGCAGCATGCACGAATTGACCCCCCCCCCCTTGTAGTTTTTTTACATAACTCAAAAAGTATTGGTCTGAGGCTGTTGAAATTTTCTGACTTCTCCTAAATTTCCATAGCCCTCCCTTAAACCTTAAAATTGCCGGAGTCCTCAGGCACACTGTTCTGCTTGAATGGGTACTTTTTTGGGGGGTCAAACTAAATCTTTATATTGACCCACTTTGGTTGTCAGATTTTGATAATTTTTAGCTTTTTAATAGCATATGACAAAAATTTTGTATATCTTAAATATGGCATGATCAACGACTTTTCAAAAATGTATATTTAATCATTTTTTGAAATCACTTTTACTTTGCCCGGAACCTAGGAGTCACCAAAAGAATTTATAAAATGTCGTCTTTACATTAAGTCAGTGTGTTTTATACTATTATACAGTGAACCCCTTAATAACGAAAAATCGAAAGAATCCATCAAAAGTCGTATTCTTCACTTTCTGAGAATGGAATGCTGCGGATATTTAGTTTTTTAATTAAATGATTATATGGAACTCTTTAAAACTGTTACCGCAAATTCATTTATTTTCGCAAATACTGAAATTTACGTAATCTATATATAAATTTGGCTTGTCTGTTTGTTTGTCTGTTTGTTTGTTTGTTTGTTTGTATCCAATAAACGTCAAAACGGCTGAACCGATCGGGCCCAAATTTTTTGTGGGACATCTAGGGAGCCCAGGGAAGGTTTATGAATCATCAAAATTTCAAATATTTGTCTCTATCAAAATTCGATCGTCATTAAATTTTTTAAAATTTTGAAAATCCGCGAAATTTTTTGTAAAAATCCGCAAATTATTTTTGTTTAGTTTTACGATGTACACAAAGAGAACATGTTCACAATTAATTTAGGAGATGGGCGCGAAGCGCCCTCTAAGGCTAGAAAGAAGGGCGCGAAGCGCCTTGAATTTCTAGTATAGTATAAAACTCATTGAAAAATTGTCAAGACGACATTTGATAAATTCTTCCGATGTATTCGTTATTAAGGGTTTCACTGTACCTAGATCTCAATAATTGGAAAAAATAATAAATAGCCATAAATTATGCGGGAATGGTTTTAAATCGCTTTATATGATTATTTAATTAAAAAATCTATATATCGGGCGCATTTCCTCATCAGGTTAAGAAGAAGACATTTAACAAATTCTTTTGATGTGCCTGGTACGAACCGGGTTAAACTGTATATAATTGGATTTTGCAATAAAAACTTCAATTTTCGGAAATTTGCTAATTTTTTGCCGATTCTAAAAGTAGAGCAGAGGAGCTTTTCAATTATGCATCATATGTCATATTTTGGACATCAAACATAGAATTTGGGGGGGGGCTCAAATTGTCCCCCCCCCCCCCACCAGCGTATCCTGATTTTCAAGTACCCATATCAGGGATAGGATTAAATAATTATTATACAGACCATGAGTATATCTTCAGATTAAACCAACAAAACTCAATTTGAAATTCATAAAAAAAACATTCCTAATGTTGAAATTATGTATCCAATTCCCAATAGCATAAATGCTACAGCGATGTGTTCCACTCTCATTTTTTCCTTAAAAATAAGAAAATCTTAATTGTAATTTGGACAATTAAGTCAAATATTGACCCGATCTGCGAATTTTTCGAGAAAAAATCCGGGAAATTTATAAGTCTATTATAATTTACCAAGGGAAGACCAGTTTTGTTTACATAACATTCCTTGCTACGCTCTGGATGTTTTGTAGCACTCCTGTATGCCAAGTCCATTAGCGCCTGATCCAATCAGGGTTCAGTCGTGTGTTTGTTGTCTGTTCTAAACCATTAGAAAAAATTTCTTTCATATCTATCTCATTATCCAATTAGAGTTATGAAGCCTTCAATCGGCGCTATCAGTAAATGGAAATATGTACTTCTACTGAAACCATAGTGGTAGACAAAACTGGTCCTCCCTTTGTAAGCTAAAATGCGTCCTGAACAATTTCAGAAATATATAAATCATTTAATTCCTTTATATTTAAAACAAACGAAAAGGAGAAACATTCAACAGATGTGTGTTTTTAAGTGCATATGTACAGGGTGTCCCAAAAAACATGGGAACTAAGTGACGACTTTCATATTGTCTTCGATCCATGTGGCATTTTTTCATTCACGCGATTAATGAAGTATTCCAGTTTATACATCTTATATAGATTTTCAAATGTGTTCTACCATTTTTAAATCTTAAAATTTTATAGAGATTATGCAAAATGTGTACAAATTTCAAATTATTCAATAAATTGAAATTGTCTTAATATCTCAAATGTTCGTCAATATTTTAGACTCAAGAAAGGTAGACCACTTTTTGAAAAGCTCATGAGACGTACAGCCTCGTTTTTATACTTTCTTTGCCATCTATATATAAATTTGGCTTGTCTGTCTGTTTGTCTGTTTGGGTGTCTGTTTGTTTGTTTGTATCCAATAAACGTCAAAACGGCTAAACCGATCGGGCCCAAATTTTGTGTGGGATATCACGTGACCACAGGGAAGGTTTATGAATGATAAAAATTTAAAAAAATGTGTTTTAAAGGTTTTTAATTTTGTAAAAAAAAATTAAATTCTTGAAAATCCGCGAATTTTTTTTTTAAATCCACAAAAAATTTTTCTTCTTTGTTTTAAAATGTAAACAAAAAGAACATGTTCACAATTTAAATAGAAGATGGGCGCGAAGCGCCCTAAAAGCCTAGTTCCTTAAATATCAGAAATCAAAGACGACTTTCATGTCATCTCTCAATTCCCATATTTATTGGGACACCCTGTATTAGAAAGAAAACCCAATTGAAAAAGGTAAATTATGTTTTCTTTAGAACACTGCGTTAAATGAACTGTAAGGGTAACTTAAAGGGACCTTCTATGAAAAGAGGAGCATCTCAGATTTACAACAGTAAGAGGAGGACAGAAGACAGAGAACTCAGTGAGTATATCTCTTCAATTTTGTGTAAAAAGCCGTAAACCTGGAAGGAATGTACATTCTGTGTGAACTTAAGGCTGCTGAAAAATCCAGAATATTTAAAAAATCTAATGTGAATACTCTGCAACTTCTACAACGTAATTATTAGTATTCCTTAAATATATAACAGCTTAAAAACAATGAACTCAAAAATTGCAAATGTTTCTATATATAAAGTTTCAAGGGTACTGTTGTGAACCGTGGATGCTCCTACTTTAAATTATGCCTAAAACCCCATTAATGCATAAAATAGAACCAGTCTATTTTTAATTCAAAATGATATAATGCAGGACTTTTTTAAGAAATAAAACAAATAATAAAACTCACCCTGTCAGATATGGTATGTTCACTTACAGCTGTATTAATCATAGTTCTTTTAATTTTCAGATAAAAACCAGCCTAAATATACAAGATTTTCAGATTTAAACCAGCCTAAATATACAAGATTTTCAGATAAAAACCAGCCTAAATATACAAGATTTTCAGATAAAAACCAGCCTAAATATACAAGATTTTCAGATAAAAACCAGCCTAAATAAACAAGATTTTCAGATAAAAACCAGCCTAAATATACAAGATTTTCAGATAAAAACCAGCCTAAATAAACAACATTTTCAGATAAAAACCAGCCTAAATATACAAGATTTTCAGATAAAAACCAGCCTAAATATATAAGATTTTAAGATAAAAACCAGCCAAAGTATACACTGAAAATTGCATGAAGACACGCTGTAGAAACCAACCATTATTAAAATAAATGTCAAATATTGCTACAGTGAGAACCAGAAAACTGTGGAATAGGAAAACGACATTAAAGAACTACTCAAGTGTATTTAACGTTGTCAGAACTCAAATATTATAACTAGTAACTTATAAATCACTTATAGTTAAATGGGTCCGTTTCCGCTGCAAAATGCATCTTGTTCTTATAACAATTAAAAGTCATCCTATTCCAGAGTTTTCTGGTTCTCACTGTATTCAAGGTGTTCATGGCACTTCCGCCTCTTTCCTATTAAAAATTAACCGTTTTTAATTGTTCCCGATATATTTACGGATGGTTCTGCTTTAATTTGTGCATTTTCAAAAATAATAAATGTCGACATTTTTTCCGGGCAAACATGTTGAGGAAAGGCCGGATCTCAATAAATATGTTGTTTGTACCTGGTCACAGAGCAGTATATGATTATCCAGATGAATTCTCCATTTAGAATTCTTCTGAACCATCCAACCAACATAGTAAAATCTTATCCTCTCCTTACATACAGTTTCGTCGTCGTATATATCAATACAATGAAGACGACTTATAATATTTTGTTTCTACCAAGCTTTCAACATACAGATACACATAAACATGGAAACAAAGAAAACATGTCATTTAACACCTTCTCTTTGTTAACTTGTGATTTTAAACAATGTTGCTAGAAATCAAAACTTATATATAAAAGTCGTCTACATTATATTGATATAAAGACCGATCACTTTACATTGTAATATTTTATTTTTTTAATTGTTAGCAATATTTCTGCTAAAACAGCTGATCAATTCACCGGGAAATTATTAATTAAAGAGACAGTACACGGAATTCTAAGTGATCCTCAAGTTAAAGATTGGCACGGGCACCCTTTATTTTATATCTGAGCATTAATTAGTATGGTATCGTAGTTTGTTCTGTGGAAAATAAAGAATCATTAGACATATATAAATTACAGCAATAATATATGATGTTTTATGAATACAAACCATACTATCAGGAGTTATTCTTAAAATCTGCTCAGACCAGGCTAAAAGTGATGCGCGCTAAAAGAGAGCGAATAGACGAGTCCGCGCGCCGCACAATGAGGCTCATAGCATGGAAGAATGAATCTTATTTTGTTATCTTCACATGCAATAAATAGTTTTCTGTACGAATAAGTAAAATAACGATCGGGGAATTCAAACCCAGATTTCATCCATAGTTTTACCGTTTTCATCATATTTGCTCTGACAGAGGCTGAAAAGAGAATCCGCGTTGTGAATTTTTAATGAAATTCCACTTGAAATTGAGTCTAGTCCCTTTAACCTTGATAGTTTCACGATACTTGGATAAAATAGTATTTTACAATGAAAACGTATTTTATTGTTTACAACGAAAAAGTATTTTATTGTTTACAAGGAAAACGTATTTTATTGTTTACAAGGAAAACGTATTTTATTGTTTACAAGGAAAACGTGTTTTATTGTTTACAAGGAAAACGTATTTTATTGTTTACAAGGAAAACGTATTTTATTGTTTACAAGATAAAGTATTGTATTGTTTACAAGATAAAGTATTGTATTGTTTACAAGATAAAGTATTGTATCGTTTATAAGATAAAGTATTGTATTGTTTACAAGATAAAGTATTGTATTGTTTACAATGAAAAAGTATTGTATTGTTTACAAGATAAAGTATTGTTTAACGCTAAATTTTCAGAATAAAAGTTAAAAATGAACTAACCTGACCTCAGTCTTTAAAAGTATAATTTACCTTGCTAAAATAGAAAATAGGCGGTTTAAGTTTATTTAGGCGACTTAAGGTTGGATCCTGACTAATGTAGTTAAGCAATAAATCCTAAATAAATATAAACAATAAAACAAACAGTTTAAAGAAACTAAAACTTCGCCGTCTCATGGTTTATGCGTAAGGATGTACAGACCTGAGTATTAGAGGTAACACTAGTTCCTGCTAGAATAGCATCAAATTTTTCATCCTAAACAGGAAACAACAAAACTTTGCTAATTAGCCAAGTCTTTGAGAAACACATACTTTAAATTACGGAATGTTCAGAACTATTTTATCAAAAACTATTTCACAATTGGAAAAACTTTCCATCTAAAGAAAACGTATTATTTTCCCATCAAAAATATCTACTTTTTTCGGACGTAATGAAACTTTGAAACTGGATTTAAACATGACTTACGACTAAAGAACTTTGTAAATTTGATTGTATAAAATTCAATTGCATCTGTTTAGATCTTCAAAAAGTCGCTGAAACAATATTCCACTCTTGGAATAAAGGAATTGAGTTTTAGCCACAAATTCAAATGTTCTGATCCCTATATCTTTGCAATTCAATGGTGAAAACCTGTGAAAATTCAACCTACAACTATTTGATCAAACAGACTTCACAGTTTGAAATATCTAAGATCTACGACATCGGTTCACAAAGATATAGGGGTTAGAAAATCAGAGTTTGTGGCAAAACCTCAATATCTTTTGCAAAAACTTGGATTTTTCCAATTTTCATAGCTGACTCTTTAATTTATAAAAAGTAACAAAAAAGACATACTTGAGATTACAGTTTAAATCCATATTAAATCATTCAAAATTAAGAATCATTTAGAAGTGCTTACACCCATGTCAACAAATTAAAGGAATTGAGTCTTTTCCACACACTCTAATGTTCTCATCCATATATCTTTGCAACCCAATGTCGTATCCCTTTAATATTTCAAATTATGAATTATGTAACATAAAAAAGTCTAAGTTTGAAATATCAAAGGTTTACAGCATCCGGTTTAAAAGATATACGGATTAGAAAATTTGAGTTTGTGACAAAGACTCAATTCCTTTAAATTGAAATCTTGCATGTTTTCAACCATCACTCCTATAAAAGGAGTATTTTAGGAGTTGATCGAGACCCATAAGAATTCTATCTAATGTTCCTGTCTCCGTCTGTATCACGTGACAATGAAACTGCACTGCCATTGGTGGGAGTTCTGGTCACGTAATACGGATTCACCGACAAAAGTTCAAACGACACAGGGTCATAATACAAAGGGTCAAACGACAAAAGGTCAAAAGACACAGGGTCAAACGACAAAGAGTCAAAAGTGCGACAAAGGGTCAAACGAGAAAAGGTCAAAATGATAAAATTATTTTTTATTTGAATCATAGGAAACTCGCAACCCTCCTATCAATTTTGGATCTTATATGTTAGACATGGATATAATTGACCATGTGGCCGCAGCGCTCCGCCCCCTAGCCTGTCCTACCCGCAGCGCTCGGCCCAGAAAGTGTCTTTACTAACCTAACCCGTGGCAGCAGCGCTCGGGCCCCCTAGCCTGTCCTAGCGGCAGCGCTTGGCCCAAAAAGTGTCTTAACTTAGCTGACCTAACCCTAAATAATAATAAATAAATACTAACTGTAACAGATGTCAAAATCAAAAAAAAAATTGCCCCTTTGTCGCATTTTTTGACCCTATGTCGTTTGACTCTTTGTAGTTTTACCCTTTGTCGCGCTTTTGACCCTTTGTCGTTTGACCCAATGTCGTTTGACCCTGTGTCGTTTGACCCTTTGTCGGTGAACCACGGACGTATTAATTATATTATCAATTATAAAAGTAGCAAACCTAGAAAAGTTTTGCAGGTTCCTCTGGGATATCGTCGTTTTCAGGTTGGTTGCGTATAATTTGCTGAATATGATCTGTTTATACCTACGATCTTTATGAAAAATTTTATATACATAAATTTGCGTATAAATTTAACAGTTCAATATCAATTTCTCGAAACAGGAACATCAGATAGAGCTCTTATGGGTCTCGATCAACTCCTAAATGCTTAGGTTTCTTAAATGCTTATACCCCCTTTCATTTTTACTTTACAGTCCCAATATAATAAGATATTGAGAAACACATTAATTTGTATTTCTGATACTTATGCGTAAATTCAGAGCTAGAGAAGCTACGAGGTCACAAAGGTGTAGCAATAATGTCGCAAAAATTCTATTTCGTTTACCGTAGATGTTGGCGGGATAGCCAGCTGTGCTACTTTCACAAACCAAGGATTGGTGGAGAAATTTAGAAAAGTGTAAACCAACTCCTGTGTTCCAACAATAGGAATCTAAAAAACTAATATGCGAAAGTTTACCAATTTGCAAGAATAAAACATATCGAAATCACGAACATTTAATTAGAAATCTAAGGATACCTTACAAGAGTCAGAATCAGGCAGGGAATAGGAATAAAGGAAAGGGAAATGGCGCTGGTCTGGCGTGAGGAAGCCAGTCGCACTGCTTTGCAGACGAGTTCGTTATTAAAAACGCACACTCTTTTGGCACAGGCACACAACATGATTACAGTCAAGGAAATTGCAGAACAATGTCGTCAATTATAATTAAGCTTGAATATCGAGTAGTTTATTGTAAACTTTAATCAAATTATATTCTTTGCTCGAAAATTTGGCTTTATAGTGTTGACTTAAATGTATAAATAATATATTACATGTATACTCAATTTATTTTCAAATAAACAATTAACAATAAATAAATGTACTCTCCTAGACTGTACAAATACCGAGATTCTCATGTACTGTATATACCAACAATACACGCCTTCGGTTCGGTAAACTTTATCACACACTCTTTTGGTACAGACACATATACATGACGTTTCCGCCCCCTCTGGACCGAATTGAATGAATTTGAGCCGCATCTCAAATCTGCCAAAAACCATTTTCAATTGAGCGCCGGCTTAAATCTTGAAATTTTGAATACAATTTTAAGAGGAACCGATCATATTTGAGCCGCATCTCAAATTTAAGCCGTGGCTCAAATTTTTTTAATTCGGCCTAAGTTTTTATGAACCATAAACATTTTTTTCGAAGTTTGGAACAACATGGGTGGGTGTCTCCTCACAGCGTATGGTTGGATAATAAAGTTTTTATTTTAAGTAAAGGGATTGAGTCCTGCCACCAAACTCAAATTTTCTGAAAATTATATCTTTGCAACCTCATGGTGTTAATCCAAGACGTTTCAATCTTAGATTATTTGCTTTCAGAGAATACATGCAATTGGGTTGCAATTCTTTTAAGTAATTCACGACTTAAGTATTCTTTTTTTCTTAAAAGTTAATGAAATTTTATAGGAATGTAGATGACATTTGATAAGTTTTTTACTTTTGTTGAATAAAATATTTCTACATGCGTTACACTCCAAACTAAGTAAAGAATGAAGTCCTATATGGTTTTAATTAAAACTTCTTCTATTCAAGAGCTATAGAGGAGACATCTTTTGAATTTACAATATGTGTGTACAATGTACATGCGACAAAAGCTAGAGGAGTTTAAAGGTTACAAAGTCGTATTTTTAATGTCTCCATCTGTCTAGTTTACAAAAGATATATTGAACGGTACAATAAGTTCTGACCAACAACATCAGTTAGGTGGAAATACCAAATAAAGGCTTTACAAGATGAGATGTTAATCATATTTCAAATTGCATTCTCTTAAAGAATACTGCTAATTGTTATCATATTAGGCTCTGACTAGGGATGAATCGTTTTCACTTTTTTTAAAACGATCGTTTTTTTAAATATTGGTTCTTTAAAAACGGTCGTTTTCAAAACCGATCGTTTCTCGTTTTTAATAATGAACGATCGTTAAATAAAAAAACTTTGTTGGTCGGGAAATCCGAGGTCAGTAAACATTCAGGTTATTTGTTTCGATAAAAAAAAACACTTAAGAGAACATTCATAACATTACCTTTTGGACAAAATTGAAATTAATTGTCAGAAAACTGAAATTCATTAGCGAAATTTTTTTGAACCCAATACTTACTAAATTATTTTCAACGATTTGCTGGGCAGTGTCAATTGGGGTTTCATATGAGGGAGAGAGAACGATAGCTCTGAAATTTAAATCATTTAAAGAAACTGTTCGTGAAACTAAAGGAAGGTTTCTATTTTATACCTTAGGTTACTTGAGAAAGCATAGGTTATCACAGCAGAACAAAGAGCCCAGACTACAAGGAGAATGCTTCCAGAGTAAACTATAAAAACAAAATTGTTGTTTAAGAAAAAAATAACTTTAATAGATTCCTTTTATATCTTAATTAGTGTACAATATTACAGTGTTAATCAGAAAACTATGGAATTGGAAAACAATTTTTAAATACAACATGATATACCAGATAAAATTGTTTAAATGTCGTCTTCATATTCCATTGTTTCATGAGTCCAACTGTACGTAGTACTGGGAATGGAATAATAAGAGCCTGTAGACGTAATTTACATTAACCCTCCATTTATAGAGAGCGAATATGATTCACAACGGAACCTTTTAAATTCATTATAATTAATCAATTATTTCAAGTAGGCGTACCCTCTATGTCCCCCTTAAAGGGACTTTAAGCTTAACTTCATTGATGACATTGTGATTCACAACAGTACCCTGGAAACCTTTATCTGATTAAGATTATGGTAGATATTGTGGTTTTTCTAGGTTTAAAAGAATTTATTTCTGATAATTTCTTTTTGTTTTCCCATAGGAGAAATGATTGAATTAACAGCGATTGGACATTTTTCAATCTTATAAACATTAATATTTAGTTCATAATTTTAAGCATATCAGACATTGACATCTTTGCATAGAGGGTTTCTTGAAGTTATGTTAACAGACTCTTGAAGCCAGCTCTGATTGCATCTTTAACATATTGTATAAAAAATAATACTTATAAATATGTAATACTTCGTTTAGAAGAGACAAGAAACCAGTTCGGCATAGGCTCAGCATTCAGTAGGCTTAAAGGCATTAAAGCTACAGCTATGCTATCCGGCTGAAAATGATAAATATACTTACGACAGTGTAGAGATGAAAACTTTAAAATTGTGGATATCGAGGTCAATGCTTGATCTCCTTCTTTTATTAATCTTAGGATTAATTAAATCTTACAGTAGTCTGCAAGAAATAACTAAATTGCAACCTATCAGAGTGTCGATCAAATCAAGAATCAATTAATCAAGTCGATCAAATCAAGCATCAATTAATCAAGTCGATCAAATCAAACAGAAAATCAGAACCCGAGGAATTTTTAGATTTTGCCCGCGATCAAATGGAGAACTCTCATTGGTCGGAATCCAGGAGGGATATCCAAAAGGTTAAGAAGAAAATCAAAAGAGTCCATATTGGATACAGAGTTTTTTGATATCGGGATTAAGGATCCAATACAAAAATGTTCAGCTCAGGTCATAGTTTTTTTAACTGTATATAATCCTTCTGGTTGAAGGGAAGCGAGTTATCAAGTATTTTTGAGCCCCCCTCAACTACTAGAGTTAATACCATTAAAGTAAACTAAAAGTTTTTTATGGATCTTCAGATTAAAAATTACCACAGTGGATATTGAGATTAAGCGATTTTTCAATTTCATCCAATGGTGGGGGTTGTTTTCAGTGGGTCTCAGAATTCAGCTTTTTCACCGTGATTTGTTTGATTTTGAATGGATTTTGGGGAGTTTAACGAACTAAAATTAAGTATTCCAACTTTTTCCAAAAACGGATATTTTAATAATTTTTTTTTCGTCTAAACTAAGAAATTAATTTTTACAAAAACGTAGTTGGACACCTTGATTGTTGCTCAAACTAAAGTAAATTTAACGTGATGGTACACCTTGATTGTTACTCAAACTAAAGTAAATTTAGCGTGATGGGACACCTTGATTGTTACTCAAACTAAAGTAAATTTAACGTGATGGGACACCTTGATTGTTACTCAAACTAAAGTAAATTTAGCGTGATGGGACACCTAAAGTAAATTTAGCGTGATGGGACACCTTGATTGTTACTCAAACTAAAGTAAATTTAACGTGATGGGACACCTTGATTGTTACTCAAATTAAAGTAAATTTCTCTAAAAATGTTTTCAAAAGTTGTTAATCCGAATATTCACCTGTTTTAGGCCTAGATGTCTTAGTATATGCACTACACCAATAAGCACAAGACTAGCTATGCCAGTGCTAAGCATTTAAAGGAATTGAGTTTCTGCCACAAACTCTGATTTTCTAATCTCTATATCTTTGCAACTTGACGTGCTATTCCTCTGATATTTCAAACTATAAATTCTTTTAGATTAATTAGTCTGAGTTTGAAATATAAAAGGTTTTCACCGTCAAGTTGCAAAGATCGAGGGATTAGAAAATTTGAGCTTGTGGCAAAAGCTCAATTTCTTTATAAATTGAGTCAAATATAATTTAAATTTGCCTCATGTGTTTTCCTTCTTTAAGATCAAAAAATAAATTTTAGAATTGAAATCAGACTTATTAATATTCTTTTTTTTGCATATGATTAAATGGTTTGAATTATCAAAATAAACTGATTTAGCTTTAAAAAAAAGAGGATCTGATAACTCCTATCAAACAATATTTTTTGAGTATTTTTGCAACCTGATTTTGTGGACCTTAGAAATGTCAAATTAAGAATTTTACTAGATCAAGAAGTCAAATTTGACATATTCAAGGTTTATACAATCGTGTTACAAAAATATAAGATTACAAAGTTTGAGGTGAGTAATGAGTTCCGTTGAATAATTTCTGGCCTTTATAATAGAAGAATATATATAAATTACCTAATTAACAGACCAATCCAAGTATAGATATCAAAAACCTGACAAGGGTAGTTAATGGAGTTAATGGAAGTTAACAATTTAAAATATTTGACCATTCAAGTTTTTTGTTTGCCATTTTAAATTGGAAACTTTAAAAAGATGTTTTAATGTCTAAAAACGAAAATATATTGAAAAATGAGGCTCGGCATCATGGCATGGCAAACTATGAAATTAGCTGCAAGCATGAAACACGTTTTCACTTGTTTTATTAGATCGGTAATTTTCGTGTAAATCTAAAATATGAACAGTTCATATTCCTGAATAGAATTGAGTCTTTTTCACGAACTCTGATTTTATGATCTGTTCGATCAAATGATTTTAGTTTGAAATATCGAAGGTTTACACCATCAGCTTTGAAATTTGAAAATTTGAATTTGCGACAAAGGCAATGTCATTTAATTGTTGTTAGTTACGATTCTTAAAGCAATAAGCATAAAAGACCCTTTGCCCATCAGAAAGCTTTTGAGCTGGATTTCGAAGAGCAAATAACATTTTAAGATAATAACGTACTTTGTGCTCTTGCTCATGACTGAAATTATTTGAATTTTTCCAAAGCTAAATTTAATCAAGCTGAAATACCTTTACTATATTTGTCATTGGTGATTTTTGTCCAGGATACTTAACAAAATAAATATTAAAGGGAGTGTATACAAATAATAAAAAGGGTCAATTGATCTTTTAATTTAAGAAAATTAGATCATGATTAAATATCTAAATCATTTTTTTAAAATCTTTATTTTGTTTTACCTTTGAAACCCATTGTATATCATCTAGTCCCACAGGATGCGTGTAAGATACAAACTCATTTCTTTCAGAAAACAAATCAAATAGCAAATATTAATCGACTAAATTGATTAGTTTGTTGATTGATTTATTGATTGATTGATTTATTAATGAGATTAATCTCGACTTTTCAGTTCACTAATATTTAAAATAATGACAAAGATAAATTATGCGATAAAATTTATTCTAATTACACTTTTATCTACAGGGTGTCCCAAAAACATGGGAATTCAGTGACGAATTCGATATCTAGTCTTTGTTATGAATTAATTTCAAAAGCCATGATATTATTATGTCTGCTAGAGTTTATTTTATGAATATGGTAAAAGACTGTAAAGATGTGTCGATAATGTCTCCGCAAGTTGAACTGCAGTGAAGACGTCAAAACATAAACAAACAACATGTGACCATAGCAGACGAAACTCTTACTGATTACAACTTTCTCAGTAGGTATCACTATACTAAATCAAATAATTATTTAAAAAGACGATATCGAATTCGTCACTAAATTCCTATGTTTATTGGGACACCCTGTAGCTTTAATACTATCCTAAAAATACAATATAATTATTATTATTATTTTTCATCGACTGATACAAACCTCTCTGAAGTGTATGAAATGAATGTTGCTCCCACATCTGCCTCGTCATACCCAACCTTAAAAATGCATTTTCAATCGCAAACAAAGTTTGAGGGACATTGTGTCAAAAAATCTGTGGTAAAAATGAATAACTTGCTTCAACCGTAACTTTTAAATCCCTTTATCTTGGCAGATTTTATTTTTAAAATTATTAATTGTTCTGTTAGATTAAACAGTCTAAATTTAAAATATCAAAGGTTTACACCATCAGGTTGCAAAGATATAGCGATTAGAAAATTTTAGAAATGCTTGCGAAGTTGCGATGAAAACCAATATAACTAACGTATGATTCGTTTACAAAGGCATTCTGCGGTTTTTGATATATTTGAAATAAAAGTTCAGTTTACAAAAACAAATTAAGGTTTTAAGAATATTAGGTGTTTTTTTAAAGAAAATATCACATTAAAAATGGAAATGGATAAGTAAAATGTGCATAAACAATATACATTTTGACACATTTAAAAAAAATTAAATACTTTGGCAAAACAAAAGTTACTTATTCCTTAAAGGAACGTTCAACATAGTTTCTGATTAAAGATCGTTCTTTTCCTGTCTCGTTCTTGCATAAATCCAAAAGTAAATTTATTTTAGAAATGCAATTGAAAATTATCATTTTTAAAAGAGTAACACAATGATAAGTCAATATTTTTTCTGATAAAGATGTACAGTCTGTAGTGTTGTTTATTGGTGCATGGCATTTTGTAAATGAAAGATCGTTTTAAAATACGTTGACAGTCCCTTTAGTACATACCATTGCAACTGTGCCTGGAGGCCAAATACCAGTACTTATATTCCTGACTCCCCATCCATTAATATTATTTTTAACATTATTATTGTTATTCTCATTATTGATATTATAACCATTGAAAAACAAATACATATACATCATGCATAATAAAGAAGAAATTTCTATCTGTATAATAATTAAAGCTCTTCGCTCATAGCTAAAGCTGGCCAGACGCGGCTGGACCGAGTGAGCTGAAATTTGCTTAAGGGAAACCCTTCAACGTACCCCAGGGGTAACATAGGCTAAATAGATCGATTTTTTTTTCAAAATTTGATTTTGAAAAATTCCACGGACATCGCCGGGCACTTTAGCTAGTTTTCTATAAACCAAACCTATAAATGTGTAAAGGTAGTATCCTTCGTATGAAGATTTATCCACCTTTCCATCTATACATCTGAATGCAGGGTAAACGTTGTTGTATGCTATTCTGAAAACACAACAAATTTTAAATAGTAAAATTAAACTTGTTTTGAGCAATCATTTCAAATGTTCAAATTTAGATGAAAATACGATAAAAAACTTTCATTGTAAAATTCCGACTATGGTGTAAGTTCTCATAAAGACTGTAACAGAATAATCAGTTTTTTTATTTATTAGAATACTGTCTTAGATGTTAACAATTTATGTTTTATTTATTTTAAAACTGCAGTGGAAACTAGAAAACTCGTCTTCTTTTTCTTTCATATGTATAATTTAAGAAAAAATCTCACTTATAAGAATTAATAGCAAAAGCGCTAAAAATGTCGTCTTGAAATTTATTTAAAAATTTATGACAGCTGTAATGCTTCATCATTGGTCTGCACAAAAAGAAAGCTTCTGAGATGTTCGCAGCTTGATAGGGTTGAATAGGGTTTGTGAAAATATATCCAAATATTATTGTAGAGTTAAAAGTTTTTTTTATAATTCTTAAGAAACTGTTTTTAATTTTTAATTCAAGATAAATCAATAGCCCTAAAATATGAATGACAGCAATAGATATTTTAAACTCGTTTTTTCGCGGCATTTGATCATAAATATGTTGAGAATACGACATTATAAAAAACTCTTGCTATGTATTCATATATCTGGTTTAACACACGAAAAAGTGAAAGTCATAAAATCAAAAAGTGCAGACTCTAGAGGTTCTCTGGGTGATGTCAACCCTTAAAATTGAAATTCAAAAACATTTTTTTTGCTCCCACTTAATGTTGTTTCGAAAAAAAAACTCAATTTTTGTTAAGGATAGGGAACAATTCGATACTTTCCGACACCAGATTTTCAAGTTGCATTTCATTCTAAAATTTGAGATAAAAAGCTAAACTTTTGCATGAAGTCTCTAATTGTGACTCTCTACACGACTTTAGGATCAGATGTCATTGACCTCCATTAAAAAAAAGATTTTACCGAAAACCCAAAGACAACTTGCACCTGATGCAATTCTCAGATTAATCTAAAATGTTCACAAAATGCTCATATTGGGTCCCATCCCCATAGAACCCCTAACAATGTGTTTTTAACCCCACTCATGTGTCACCCTAACGTTCACCTTATGAGATGGTTCTGCAATTGATCTGCAAAATATTCCGGGTGTTCATGAAATCCTACTTTTTTAAGATGTTTTATCCACGACCCTGGAAACAAGTAAGAGGTAAAGTATGGTAAGGTAAGGTAAGGTAAGGTAAGGTTAAGGTAAGGTAGGGTAAGGTAAGGTAAGGTAAGGTAAGGTAAGGCAAGGTAAGGCAAGGCAAGGCAAGGCAAGGCAAGGCAAGGCAAGGCAAGGCAAGGCAAGGCAAGGCAAGGCAAAGTAAGACAAGGCAATGATTGGAAAAGTTAGCATGATTAAAAATTCTGTAATATTCCCAAGCAATCCAACAAATCTTGTTAAGGGACCGTAACGCAATTTCTACAAAGATTATGATTATGTAGCAGGAGGCAATGATGAAAATGGTCAGAATTGAACACTTTCTAAACTAGAAATACGACGATATCATCCACTTTGTTGCTGATATGAAGGTTTAATTCTGTCAGTTTGTTTTTGAAATAATGTTTCGTATATTCAGGAATTTATTTTTTACCTTGAAATTTCTGATTGTAGATATCTCTGAAATCAAATTAATTTTTAAAGCTAGTAAAAAAAATATTTTTAATGATTAAATTTAATATTGTTAATTACCTGTAGAGAAACTTTGTTGACCCCTGTGTGAGGAGAACAAATCTGTAATCTGCAGGGAAAATGAAAATAAAATTTAGCAACATTTTAATCTTAAAATTTGTTTTGACACTTCAAAAGAGGATTTTAAAAATAGAAATTGATGTCGCCAACAGGAATTTGGGGTTCAACAAAATATGAAAAAGATATATAAGAAAATATTTACTTAAATTTGTTCAATCTTAGCTTAAAGTTCAAAGGGTGCAAAGTAAATCTCCCAAATTTGAGGGAGAACAAAATAGATATTATTATTTTCCTGTTGGGAGATTAGGTTGGTAATCATCTTGTTGAAGGCTAAAGAAGATGGTTGGAAAATATCCCAGCTGTATCACATGTTCCAAGTCAGCGCCCTAAGGTCCAAACTTTTGTATCTTAAATTGGTTCATTTCCCCACACCCCCTGGCGGTTTAATTTAAGTTATTGGACATATCTTCTATAGTCGCCCCTTTCATTTTTTCTTTTAAAAAGATATTTTGGTGTATTATTGTCCGTATGTCATTCTTATAAAACTTAAATCATTCTATCTAATACTTTATGCTGCGCCTTCTCGCTGTTTCAACCAAACGTTTGTAAACATTGAACACATTTTACGGTTTAATTTTACAGTATGTTATTGAAAATATATTAAAGCTGACTACTTTAGAAAGTTTATAACAAATATTTCTTTAGGTTTTCCTCCGACTTGCAAACAGTCCTAACTTTAAAAAGTACTCAAACCACATTTAAAATATGTGCATCCTATCTTCAAAAAGTGAAGCATCCGTCAGACCTTCAAGAAATACGCAAGCTATCTACAAAATGTGTGCATCCGACCTACAAAGTACACATCCTACATACAAACAATGTACATTTGACCTCCAAAAATGATGCATCCGAAGTACAAAGTGTACAAAGTGCACATACGATGATACGACCTGTACAAAGTGCATAAGAAAGTCTTACAAAAAGTTCAGCTTCGGACAAACTTAAAGGGACTGTAAAGGAAAAATGAAAGGGGGTACAGGATAAAAACTGAGAATTTCAGGTTTGAACGTTACCTATAAGACATCTATCGTATGTTCCTGTCTCGAGATATTGACATAAAACTGTTTCAAAATTATAACAAAAAGGACATATGTCAGATTTTGTATAATAGTTGTAGCATTAAACAGATCATATTCTTCAATTACGCAACGAATCTGAAATCGAAGATATCTCATAGCAACCTGAGAATCTCAGGTTTGCTCCTGTTATAATTATTTCATTTTTATTTTGCATTTTTTAGATATAATTGATAATATTATTACATTTAATCCGTATAGTCCGTAGTACGTCACCAGTACTTCAGCCAATGGCAGTGCAGAATACTGGTCATATGATTTCCGTCCATACCACGTGAAAACGATCACTGTCATTGGCTGAAGTTATTGTGACGTAATACGGACTATACGGACTATATGTAAAAATATTATCAATTATATCTATCAAAAATGCAAAATGCAAAATAAAAAATTAGCTGTCACCATATTGTATATGAAAGAAAATAACTCAATGCAAACACTTGTAAATATAATATTCGTCGAGTCGGTTTTTCTTATAATTTATTATTTACAAAGATACAAAAAATAAACGATTGATACTATACTAATATGATATTATGAATTGAAGCAGTTTCAGAGTGATGGGGAATCTTCAAGGGAATCTCAGTTTAAGGGAGCTGACGATCAACTGATTCTTTTCCCTTCATTTCGCTCCACCCTGGGCTCTCATTTAACCCTAGTTCCCCGGGCGCTGGCCGGCTAGCCCCCCCAGCCCCCGTGCTTCTGGAATAACGGAACTTTCAGCTTGGCTTGGGTTGGGTTATTTATAGAATTCTCATGCAAACTCAAATAAATCCGTTAGAATTCAAAATAGGATTCAAAAGTCCAATCGAACGGTATAAAGGGGGGGGGGGGCTATGCCCCTAGCCAGCTTTAATCTGAGCGATCTAAAAAGATCCTTGAATCGCTGATCGTAAAAGATCAACAAAATCACCCATTGTTACAATATAATCGTTTTCAGATTGGTTTTAGAAAGATCCAGCATGCATATATGTTGAAGAGTTCTTGTAGATCGAAATTCCAAACAGATTTAACGTAGGACTGATTGAATATTACATGCTTCGCAGACAAGGCATTTTCTGAAGAAAATTGTAAACAAATTACCTGTTTTGAGAAAATAAATATACATTTAGTCGTTATATCTGCAGAAAAAGGTGCTAGCTTTAACACATTGTCCACTATTATACTTTCTTCCCAGAGTGCAAAATAAATATCCATCCTAATTAAAATAGAATTAAACAAGGCGCATTGTGCACAATTTTTAGTTTTTGGCTCAGTATTTTACTTCTGTTAATTCAGGCATTGTTGGTAAGGTAAAATAGATGACATCAAAAATTATAGAAATATCTGTTGAGTCCTTTTTGCGAAAATCTAGTTTAAAAAAATTGTAAACATCAAGTGCATTTTCAGGTCTAACGTCTAACTTTACTGTGGTTTCAAGGCTTTATTAAATTTATTCTGTGTTTTTTAAACCGTATAATTTATGGTCCCAAAATATTGTGCCTTTTTTGTAATACTTGAAAGACATTTTGTAAAAAAAAAACAATGCCTTAGTTAAGTCAACTGCCTTACTGCCTAAAAAAGTATAATTGGCATGATTTTGACGAATTTCTCTTTAAACAGACGTTTTCAGGGAGTACCTCGGCAGTCAGGTTATATAGTTTACTTAGGGCTTTGATTTTTTGTTACAACATTCTTATGTCTATTTGAGAAATTTGTTGACAATTTAATGTTAAAAAATATTGCAATAAAACAGGGGGGGGGGGGGAATAAATAAACTTTAGACCTGAAAATACACTTAATTCTAGGATTTCTTAAAAATGGATTTTCTCAAAAAGAGTACAACAGATATTTCTAACTTTTGGTGTCATGTTATTACCCTAGGTGTCAGACTTAACGAAAATGTCAATCAAACAAAACTGAAATTACTCTCAGTTCAAAGTGGGGAAAGGGTTTGGGGAAAGCCACATATCAATCTGCTGGTGTATACAAAACAAATATTTAAACTTTGTTTTGATGTTCTACAGTGGTAGAATTTTATATCAATACAATGAAGACGACTTTTTACTCAAGTTTTGGTTTTTGAAAAGATTTTTTGCAAATCAGAAGTTTACAAGTAAAAAGAATCAATACAATGAAGACTACTTTTGTATTCAAATTTTGGCATATATATTAAGTATATTTGTTCAAATTACAAGTAAACAAAGAGAAGCGTCGGCGTTTAAAAATCATGCATAACTGCGGTATTAGAAGTACTAGAGTAATTAGTTCCTTTATGAACGCAGAATTTATTGCCATGATCTTTAAAAAGGGAGTGTTCACGAAAAATAGGCGTACGGCGAAAAATTATCGATGGTGATCTTACTTCTTTCTGTTGCGTTTATAAGGAGAAAATTGTTAAAACGACTCATACCGAAGAAAGTAGCGTTCATACAAATTCAGAAAGTTGCAACAAACGGCTCGGATCGTAAAAAAATCAATTTTATTCAAAACAAATCAATCAGAAATGACAACCTATAAGCATCGATAATTTTTCGACGCATTTGTATGTATAGATGATATTTCATAGTATTTTAGATTTAAAAAAATAATATTTAGCTTACAACTTGTTTTCACGGCTGGCGCTAGATTTTCGAACATTCCTGGAAATGTATAAATGTCGTCTTCATTACCAAAAATCCTCGAAACAGGAATGTTCCAAAAGTAACTCTCAGATCATAAAAAAAAATAAAAAAATATTATGAAATATCAACTGTATACGAATGCGTCGAAAAATTATCGATGGTCATTTTAAAGCTATAACTTGAATAAAACAGTTGTATTCCTTTTTCAAAAAACTTACCCAATATAAATATTCAGACAGTAAGCGCTTTTTTCATGACTGAATAAGTAGTATATAAATTAGTTATTATTTTTTAACAATTTCAATTATATGTATGTCAATTTAGAGTAAAAATACACAATGTTTTCTTCAATATGTGATTAAAGATGATGACTGATTTTTTACCATGGGAAAACTTGTTGTAAAATATAAAAGTTTGTTGATTACCTGTTTATTGAAAACCACGAGACTATGTTATGAAAATCCTCGAAATCCAAAACTTTCAAGTTTTTTAAGATTTTAATTTTGGTCTGATCTCTCTCCACATCCTGCATAGTATATACCAGGGGAAGGAAAAACAAGAATAGACCGAAAGTCACAGGTCTTAGCATAATTGTTCTAAACTATACAGTGATCACCAGAATATTATAAAGAACATCTGTTACAGTGGTAACCTGGAAATAATGGAATGATTGTCGTCTTCAATTCCCTTGAACTCTTGAAAGCTGCTAATAATCTCTCTTTAAAAAAAAATTGTGGCTTTAACATGTACTTCTAGAAGTACAGGGTTAGCCACAAAGGGAAAAAATAGAGACAAGAACTTTTCGGGGCGCTTCGCTTCCTATTTTAGATTTTAATTTTTTGTTCGTTAACAATAAAGCGCAAATTTTCTTGATTTTTTGTAAATTTCCAAAATTGTTATAAATTTTATAGCCCAAAACTAAAGAACGAAAAGTTACAGCTATAAATGATAAGTTTCAGCATCGACTTTTTGAATGAAAATGTGAGATTTTATTCACAAAAACTTAATTACTTAATTGTCTCACGGGACGTTAAATAACATTACATCCCAGTGTTGGCAATGTTGGTAGTTTTCACGCAATGGCACGAGCACAACTTGTTTATTGCACTGAACGAGACATTGTTTCTCAAAAAAAAAAATAATTTGCGAAAAATTCCAAGAAACCTTTAAAATTTTTAGATGGAGGAGGCTGGATAAATTGAAACATTAATATTAAAATTCACAAGAACGATAAGTCATGTTTTCGATCAATACAATTTATAATATATAAATGATTATCCGCAAATTTTGAAATTTTGAAAACACACGAAATAGGCTCTAAAGCTGTAAATCGAAGTTTTTGCACAAAATTCGTGCAATAATTGCGTAAAGATTTGCTTGTGTTTTGAATAAAAATTTCACGAAATTTGGATATAATTTTGCATTGATGCTCAAAAGCTATTTCGCGAAAATCTTGGTTTCTGCGTACTTCGTTGTTTCCTGCTTTTTCGTTATTTCGACCAATTTCGTTATATCGAGTTATTTCGTTAGATTTTGAGAAACAATTTATTTCAAGAAATCAATAAATTTATCACACAGATTTAAGACAATTTGGTCAAGCCGACAGAGCTAGATGGGTAACAAACAAGCAGACACCCAAACAAGAGAAATGTATACATATTCTATAGATAAAGACAAATATGTCATCAGTAAGACTGAGACGCACCTCCAGCGACACCTTTTTAGCGTTTTCTCAAAACATATGTATCATGACAAAATTTTTTAATGAAAGTAACTGAAATTTGAACAGTTTATAAACTATGAATATGACAATAATGTTATTATTGATCATGAATATATTACTGCAGCCATGAAATAGTTTAGTTTTTTTAAAACTAATTCACATCTTTCCTTTATTCCAATTTTTCGTTATCATGAGCATGCCAAATGTCGCATTTAACCTTGTATTCATGCGCAAAATGATGACTTAAGTTTAATATTCATGCGTAATTTCGTGTAAAAAAGGATTATTTATTTCGAAGGAATGCTCAATTTCGTGCAAAACTGGTTTCGTATTTTTACTAAATTGATGCAAAATTTCGTGCAAAAAAGTCATAACACGCAAAAACACGAAATTTTTGCGCAAGAGAATCTACAATTCGCGGAAACCAGGGTTTCCAGCAAAAAGAAATTTTACATTTTTTGCGAAAGTTTTCTTTTCGCGACCATTTTGTTTTATTTTTGCATTTCGTTCACTCGCGAAAAATGCGAAAATTTTAACTTTTCACTTCTTGCATTTCGCGAAACGCCTCGTTCGCTGGAAACCCAAGTGGAAACCTTAAATCTTTAAGTGATCGCAATACCCTAAACCGTAATTTGATCAAAATAGTGGAAGATACCGTCGTTTTTCTGCCTTGGAAAAGTATTTATTTCTTTGAGGTTCTCCAAACTGTTTCTAAGCAAGAAAATCGCATGCCACTTTTGTACAGAAACAGAATTGATATCTAATTAATGCATAATCAGACAAAGCTTTCAAGGGTACCGTTGCCATCTTTGCATGGTGAGTCACTTGAAATTACAATTGAAGTCCCTTTCAGTCATGATGGGACACACTATATAATGAATCTGGGTCTTTACACATCTGGTATTTTAAAAGTACAAAAAGATAGATCGAGCACATTGAAATGCTAGAATTAAGGGTAATTTAGCGATAATTGTTTCAAACTCATACTTTAAAAATTAAGTTGACGATTAAAACTGCAAATACTATAAGACTATTCAATTCATCTTTCAAGGACTATAAGAATATGCAAGTCATCTCTCAAGGACTATAAGACTATTCAAGTCATCTCTCACGGACTATAGGAATATTCAAGTCATCTCTCAAGGACTATAAAAATATTCAAGGCATCTCTTAACGCTCATATTTCGTGGGACACTCGCATCTTATCTTTAATATATAAATTAAGTTTTCAAAGAAAGCATGCAATTACCAAAAATGTTGTTGAAACCTTCTTACTTCTAGACGAGATACTTGACTAAAAAGATTAACTAAGGGTAGTCATAGATATTTGAATTTATTTGCGGTATTCGTTTGTCAACTTACTTTTACAGGGATGATTCTTGAAACAATAATCACAAAATTCTTCTGGATATTAGGAATTTTGTTCAGGTTTCATTCATAAGTTAAAACCAAATTTATTGAAATTTAAATCAAATAATTGAAATTTGAACCAAATTATCGCTATCACTGAGCCCGAAATTCAAAGAGTATCCGTTGAACGAAACTCCTGAGTTTCCTTTTTTGGGGTCTTAAAATTTGTGTAGATTTTGATTTAAGAGATTAAAAAATGGAGAATATGAAGAAACTAAATGAAATAATATTTCATAACAAAATTATTGATATCCACAAAACTGCCCGGGTTTCAAAACTGGTTTTCATTACGATACCCTGTCTTAAGTTTTGGGTTCTGTAAAGATTGAAAGCACACAAAAACAGGAATACCCCTGGGAAGACCACACTTTATAGATGTCGGAACTAAGTTGTTTTGTGATCGTCAAATGAATGTCACTTACTATTTTAAAAATCTAAGACAATCTGAAGTAGTCTCTAACCTATCATGTTTCATAAGACATAAATAGGAAATAATAAAATTTAGACGACCTTCTGTGCGCAAGTTTATTAAATTTGTTGCCATGTCATTGAAAATCAAGATCTGATTGGATAATTTACATACTTTCAAATTGAAGTTTCGCTAATTAGGAGTAATTAATGCAAAATTTCCCGAAAATTCTTTGTAGAAATTAAAAGTTTCGTTGAATATTACAAAATTTCGCAAAATTACCTTATATGAATTTATTTTTCCGAAATTAAAGTTTCGCTAATTAGGCGCAATTATTACAAAAGTTCGCGCAATTACTTTGCAGAAATAACGCGAAATTACGCCGTAGTTTGCGATATTGAAGTTGCGCAAAATACGCGAAATCCTTCGAAGCTACACGCAATCAAAATTATTTCGCGAAACTGCACGTAATTTCGCGTTAAGTGACAAATCTGCTAAGCTGAAAACCCTAATCTAAGGATGCTATATTGATTGGTCGAATTGGACTAATAGCCGATTGAATTATCTTACAAGTTTTCAGAATTCATTTGAACATACACCATATGAACAAAACAAAAATAAATTTTGTTTAAATTCTTTAACACGAGGGGGGGGGGGAGTCATAGTTTGAAAATATCAAAGGGAATCATCTACAAGACTACCAAGAGACAGAGTGAACTCTAATAACTACCACTGAAATCTGAATTCATATTATAACAAATTTACTCTCACGAATTACAAAATTAAAACATATCTCACGAAATTTTAAAACTAGTTTGCATCTCGGCTCCGACCTATCCAAGGATAAAAACTAAGAGAAATTATGAATAAATAATCGCAACAAATATCAAACAAGGGCCAGAGAGAAGAAAGAGGTGGCAGAGAATGGTGGATTCTCATTTGAACTACTCCTTTTTGAACTATTGTTCTTTTGAACTATTGTTCATTTGAACTACTGGCATGACGTCATATCCTGTAGTTCAAATCAGCACATTACTTGCTCATTTGAACTTTTTTTCTTCCAATTCAGTTTAAATTTTTTTATAATTATGAATTGTTAGGGACCATGAATTATTAGATAACATTTACACAGAAATGTTTCAAATGAACATAAAAAGTGTTCAAATGAACATAAAAATAATTCAAATGATCATAAAAATAGTTCAAATGAACAATAGTTCAAATTAAAAAAATTATAAAAAAATTGGTTAAATGAAAAAAGGGGTCTGTCCTAGAGAACGATTTTTGGACCCCCATCCCCCCCCCCCTCCTATCAATTTTGTACATGACCATTTTTTTCATCAAATTTATTATTATTTATTTATTATTTTAGGGTCAGGGCAGGTTAAGCTCATTTCTGGGCCGAGCACTGCGGCTAAGACGAGCTAAGGGGCCGAGCACTGCGGTCACATGACCAATACTAATTTGCTGAAAAATAAAAAAATGGTCATGTACAAAATTGATTCTATTTTTATGTTCATTTCAGCTATTCACGTGGTACCACGTGCAGTAGTTCAAACGAACAATAATTCAAACCGGAGTAGTTCAAATGGGATAGCATCCAGAGAATTGACCTGGCACAGTACAGGCAGTCAAATCAAATCAAATCTCACTTTTTAAGTAACTTAATTTAATTTAAATTGAGCTCACATTAAAAATAACATTCTCAATGCACAATGATACCTCTAAACTCTTCCGACTAAAATTCGTGGACAGACATCTGTACAAATCTCGCAAATGCGATGTAAATAGCCTTAAGATTTGAGATTACACTTGTGCTGGTTCTATACTATCCATCTATTCTGTGGCTATTGTACCCGGAAAAACTAGAATATTCAGTCAAATTCAAATTTTAACCGGGATTCTTTATGTTTTGCTGCACTGCCAGTAGGTAAAAGTTAGTATTTCTTAAATATGTAACAGCTTACAATAGACTTAAAATTCATCAGTTTAATCTTCATATAAAAAAGGAAAGCCAATCTTCAATGATCTGACTCAAGTGTTAAGGGATCTTTGTTAATCGCGTATGCCACTCCAAAGTTCATTTTACTTTTTTCTCTGAATTTCAACAAGAAAAACCATAAGGATATATTTAGTGCACAAAAACACATATTTCTGATCACAATTATAAATTCACATTTTAAATTGAATAAAGCCTTTCGGCTTGACCAAAGCAAAGTCTGCTCGATTCACATAATATAAAAATAAATGCTGAAGTCTTGAGAGTAAAAAAAATAAGTTTGTACACATCTGTTAATAGAAGCTGAATGCATATTGTCTTTTAGTCGGGAATCAGAAGTGGAATTCTTAATAATCCAAGGATTAAAGTTAAATCCAAGTAGATGAATATAAAAGAATTAATCTTTAACATACTTCCAGATTAAACTAAAATCCTTTACAGCTCAATTGAATTCCCTTCTAGTATTTAGAATTAGAAACAGAGTTTCCATGGAGTCGTGCATCAGAAGTTGAATCCCTTGAGTCGGGAATCAGAAGTTGAATCCCTGGCTTGGCATGTTGTTGGGTTCACTAAACTCAAATCCAGTTTCAGATTGTCGTGGGGCAGCTACGTCATCATCAACCTATGACAATGAACGGGTTTAGTATTTTATAGATGTTTTTAAGCGGAAGAGTTGATAATAAAAAAACAGTATCAGTGAAAATCAGGACGCAAAATGAGAACACGTGTTGAGTCTAGGGTTTCAGTAATTTTCCTTGATAAATTTGGTTCAGTAAAGGCCCTACGGAACCTTACCTGAAGCTGATGAACATAACATTTGAATACTAACGCCGGAACCTTTCTTTTCGTCACCGAATTAAGAATAAATACACCACCTAGATGTGCTAGGTGTGACATGCTGAAAAGTTTGTGGAGGTCGATATGATTGTATATAGTGTATCGAGTCTACGGGCGATTAATCCGGATCAATTTAAGATGATATCATTTCAGCACGTCACACCTGGCTCTGTGTGGCATCAAGGGGGTACATTTTTTTCAGTAAAGAATGTGTCCGCCATTTATTTTCCAAACGTTTCAACAAGTATTCAGGAAAGTTCCGTTGAGCCTTCACAACTAAATTAATCATGAAAAAATTATACCATAATATAACCTAAAATTCTGGTGATCTCGATTGGAAAATAAACCTAATTCTCACCTGATCCCCGTCAGGGAAGAAGGTTTCAATGATAGACAACGCCTTCTGATAGATAACCTAAACAACAATATTTTAAGATAAAGTTTATCAAATAGTTTTATACTTCGGATTCATCACTTTTCACAAAGACAAAAAGTTTTTAAAAATATAAAGCTGAAGTGCCAGGCGTTTCCCGTGTTATTTCATATGATCAACAAAAAAAATATTTTTTGAAATAAAAATTCAATATTTTTAGCTTATGTAACCCCCAGGTTCCCTCAACAAACAGCCCATTCGGTCCAGCCGGTTGGCCAGCTATAGCTAACAGATATACATACAAATTAAATATATGAGCGAAGAGCTCTAACATGTAGAATATAAACACATGAATTATACACCACTTTAAAGCAGAAAGTGTACTAGAACTTGGATAAGTTATATTCATACAACAACTATCATAAAATCTAAATTCTAGATTATAACATTAGTTTCAGCTTTCTTCAGAAACATTAATAAATTTATTTTAGAGTTCAAAACGAAAAAAGCAAAATCTTTGACAATTTCTATAGCTTTTTAAGGAATGAATGTCTTTACCCGCTGTTTGAAAAACAATTTACCTCGTTCTCATGAGACTGGAGAGCTTCAATTTTATCCAATCCTCCACATTCTTCAATCATAAGAGCAACCTAAATAATTAAATAAAGATGATGTGAACAATATTCAGGTTCCAAATATCTTGTGTCTAAAATTTAGTCTTTAAATGCTGAAATTTATTTTGACAAAAAAAGAATGGTTGCAGGAAATCATTATTATCAGGTAAAAAGACATAATATCAATTCCTTACAATCGTCTTTGAAGTTTCTTACATTGCAATTGATAACGTTAAGTCCAAATTCATTCAGAGTTAAAAATGTTGAGCGGTTCTTTATTTAAATGTATCTACAATTCCAACCAAATCCCCTGGCAACAAATCAATGAAAACTATAGGTTTATGCAACTGTATGATGTAAATTCTTTTTTGGGGAAAAAAAAATAAAAAATTGGACATCAAAAGGCAAGTTTTTCCTTCCCGATTCGATACTTTCAACCCAAATCTCCCCCCACCCCCCAAATCAGCTAATAAACCCTTAAAATATAAAACTTTTGAAAAACAAAATGTTCAAAGGTGGGGGAGATATTGAAATATTTTTAATATGTGAACTAACCTTGTCTGTTTCTCCAAGCTTATCAGCAGTGTTGAGGATATTAGTGATACCATCAAGAACAACATTGATAGTTTTATCATCCTGAAAATTAAGCAAAATAAATATTATGTTAAGGCTCAAGTGCTAAGGATCTGGATCCGCAAAAATATGCGGATTCACAGTTCCGGATCCAAGGGGAAAAATATCAAACAAATACTGCAAAACAAAACTTATTGCTCTCAAAACCCAAATGTGATTATGAGATTATCAAAAACTCCTAATTCTTCAATGGTACATCCAAGTTTTAGCACAAAAATAAGCAAAAATTAGAAATATTGTTTTAAAACTTTAGTTCAACAAATTAGTAAATCTTAAAAGAAACGTTCATGACCTGAGCCCGAATTTAATGAATTTGAGCAGAGTCTCAAATTCGCCATAAACCGGTTTCAATTGAGCACCGGCTAAAATCTTGAAACATTGAATACAATTTTAAGTAAAACCAACCATATTTGAGCCGCGTCTCAATTCTAAGCCGCGGCTCAAATTCAAATCGGCCTCTTTTTGCAAGAGTTCAGATTTGGATCCGGATGCTTTTTTCAGTGTAGATCCGGATCTGAATCAAAATTAAATGAATCATAGGCACTGCCGCAGAGATTTTGTAATGAACAAGTCACAGAATTTAAAACTTGTTAAAAAAAAGAAGTCTAAACTGAGGAAGTAAAGGGCCTTTTATAAAAAGTTTAATCATAATTCCCAACAGTTAGAGATGGACTCTTTCTACATTGTATGCCGTTCTCCTTGGTGTTCACGCTTGGCTTAATGAAAGTATTTGCAATATTAACTATGCAAACTTGAATTCAAGGTTAAATCGTTAAAAGGGAAAGTATTGTCCAATCAAACAAGTTTCGCAGTCTAAGAGATCAAACAAGTTTCCCAGTCTAAGAGATCAAACAAGTTTCGCAGTCTAAGAGATCAAACAAGTTTCGCAGTCTAAGAGATCATACAAGTTTCGCAGTCTTAAGAGAAAAAACCGAATGCATTATTTTTTACCTTTGCTGCGAGAAGATCAGTGAATGGTTTGAGCACACCCTCTCCACACAATTGTACAATTTGTTCTACACTTCCGCCTAAATATATCTTAATTAAAATTAAAATGTTTGATTCAAAGTAAAATACAGCGAGACCCAGAATACCCAGGGTAGACAACTGTTAACTGAACAACTACAGTTATGGTTTAGTTTTGAATAGTCCAATAAAATGAAGCACAGCATTTGTGCAGTGTACACAGACCCATTTCACTGATAAGATTAGTTTTGAAGCGATGATTTAACAATTTAACATTTAGATTGCTTCGTCTTCTTCCTATTCCACATCTTTAGGTATCCAGTTGAAGCTCTGAACAGTCTAGCCCAACTTCAGTGAAACCCTTAATAAAAAATACGTCGGAAAAATTTATCAAATGTCGTCTTGACAATTTTTCAATGAGTTTTACTATATTACGTATATTTCAGTATTTGCGAAAATAAATAGCCATGAATATGCGGGAACCTTTTTAAGAGTTCCATATAATCATTTAATTAAAAAACTAAATATCTGCAACATTCCATTATCAGAAAGTGAGGAATACGACATTTGATGAATTCTTTAGATGTATTCGTTATTAAGGGGTTCACTGTAGCAAAATCATAAAGAAGTAGATTTAAAAAACAGAATGTTCGCCAATTGTTCCAAACTTAATTATATATGAAGAGAAAATCCAAGCAACAATATTATTTCCTTCTATGGATGATGGATTCTTAAATTTGTATATACCCTAGAGAAAAACCTTATTTACTCTGCACCAATCGTAGAACAGTTCGCAGGACATTTTGCATTATAATTTATTTCTAGTTTCTGCCTGCTTTGGTTTAAAACCCCAAAATTGTACATTTCAGCTTCAAAACTCTAACTCAGGGATTATAAGCGTAATTAAGGTGTTCCTCTATGCACACAGAACCCTTAAAAGCCTTGTTTTACCAAGTTTGAATTAGCCATTGATGTTTAGATTTTAATAGTGGTTTATCAAACAAGTCACATGCGCATTTCAACTCCAGGAAAATTAAAAGAATTATTAGAATTAAATACATAAACATAGAAAAAAGACCATTTATTACACAGTTTTGATCTGATAAAGCTGGTTTTAAGAATATTGTTGAGAATCGGACATTGTCATCTTTGCAAGTAAGGCCACTATAAATAAACCTTTAACAGTCCTTTTAGCAAGGTTTCTATACTACCTGAAGTCAAGTTTGTAACGGCCCATGCTGCTTCCTTTTGAGCCTGTAAAAATAAAAATAAAAAATATTTTTTTTAGGGGTGATTTTCGGTGTCTGCAAGGAAGCAAAAGGAAAATAAAAAGTCTCCCTATACTGGAAAGTTTTGATGATAAAATATTCTCCAACTTTTTCACATAAATTGTAAAAACTCTGTTGTTGCTATGGGAATTTTGAATTTCGGAGGCATACGCTCTAGGCTTAACCTTTCAAAATTCGAACTTTTACAAAAAAAAAAACCATAATGATGATTAGTCTTAAAGGGAATGAAAAGGAAAAATGAGAGAGGGTATAGACAACACCTGCCAATCTCAGGAGTTGAACGAGACATATAAGTTATCTATCTGATGTTCCTTCTCGAGAAATTAATATAATATAAAGGAGTAGGTTTAAACAGATCATATTCAGCAAATACGCAAACAATCTGAAAACAATTATATCCCACAGAAACCTGAGAATACCAGGTTTGCTTCCATTATAGTTTTTTAATTTTTATTTTGCATTTTTCATTGATATAATTGATATTATTTTTAAGTCCGTATTACGTCACAAGAACTCCCGCCAATGTAAGTGCAGTATACTGGTCACATGATAGACAGAAATCCCATTACCAGTATACTGCACTGCCATTGGCTGAAATTCTGGTGACGTAATACGGACTATACGGACTATATATAATAATATTATCAATTGTATCTACTAAAATGCAAAATAGAAAATATAATGTTGGCAAACCTCAGATTCTCAGGCTCCTGTGGGATATAATCGTTTTCAGATTGGTTGCGTAATTGTTAAAAATGATCTGTTTAATGCTACAACGTTTATACAAAATCTGACATATGTCCGTTTTGGTATAATTTTGACACAGTTTTATGTCAATTTCTCGAGACAGAAACATAAGATAGACGTCTTATCAGTATCGTTCAAAACCTAAGATTCTCAGGTTTTATCCTATACCCCCTTTCATTTTCCTTTACAGTCTCTTTAAGCATTAGGTATTTCTACAATTTGGTTTAACGTTGGTTAAGTTAACATACCTTGAAGTCTCCCTTGACCAAGATATCGATCAGTGGTGGCACGCATCCAGCATTTATCACCAACTAATAAATAATATTCTAAATATTCTAGACTAGATACTTCTTTGTAATACAGTCAGCACCAACTAATTGATTTAATAATTTAAGTTTCTATACACAAGAAAATTGTACTTAATACTTAGGTCATTCCACGTAACATAGATCTGCTTACGGGAAATTATGAAGAAAACACCCACCGAAGGTTTGATATATACAAAAAGGTCAAAACGGATTTTACGTTTCTTTTGAATATCTAAATAATACATTACAGTCAACTGATCCGAGTTTTAACCTGAATTTTAGAAAATGCCACCTTGGAAAATTTAAGCAAATTCATATTTTCATTTTGAAGCAAAAAGCCAAAATCCTAAGTCAACTGCATGACTGTCAAGACTCAGCCTGAAATTGTTTTTATTTTGGCGATTTTACTGATTTACTTTTGAAAAAAAATCGTAAAAACCCAAAATAAAGCTTGATTAAGCCTTGACACTACAGTTACATTTGATTCATACAATTTCTTTAAAAATGCATTCACTCAAAATTCCCTAGGCGTCATTTTCTGAAAATTGAGATTAATTTTTAACGGCAAAATGTAAAAGTAAACAAACGCAGACCTGAATTTGTTCTGTGTTGCCAGCTGTTATATTTGAGATGGTCCAAGCAGCTTCCTACAAATACATTAATTTAAGTTTATTTATTTACCGATTTAATGAATAACTTGAGCAAATGTTAAAAAAGACATCAATTGATAAAATTTAACCAGAAACAGGGATTGGCAATTTACTTTATCTGTTCTTTTGATCAATGACCATTCAAGTTGTTTATGCTTTCAGGGACAAAATTTAGTAAATAACGAGAAGTAGCTGAACCGCGTAGACATAGTTCAATCACTTCTATTTAATGGAGAAACCTGAAAAAAATGATTCCAGAACGGTGGAAATGCATTGAGAAGAACGAGGGGGGGGGGCTAAAATAAAGGTCAGTAAGTCAAATATTTATAAACCTTATCCCACTCGACTCTAAGACTATCTTATCATCAAAAGGTACCAAAAAGAGACCCATTCTATAGGATTAACATGCCTTCAGCAAATTAGAATATACATTTTTATCATACAAATTTGGATATAATCTGCATTAATTTTTAAAACTATTCAGTCTCCTAATTATTAGGTTTCCCAAAAAAAATCCGAATGCGCGCAAAGCTATGAAGTGTATCTCAACGGACGGCACGCAGATAACAAAATCTAGAAAAAATCTTACTTTCAGAATATTTCCCTTTGGATGCTGGAGAAGACGGGCAAACACTGGAAGTGCATTACACTGGAGAACAGCGTCAGTTTGTTGGTCGTTTCCGGTAACAATATTTCCTGGATAAGTTCAGATTTAATTCAGAAACAATATTTCCTGGATAAATTCATATATAGTTCAGAAACAATATTTCCTGGATAAATTCATATATAATTCAGAAACAATATTATATCGGATCTGTTCGGTTCCATAGCAGTAAAGCTATCATGTTAAGAGTTCCCATTATTACACGGTTCAGGAGAAGAAATGTCAATATTGTTTGCTTCCTAGCGTTTAAGAATGCTTATTCTTACACTGACCCAGTGAAGTCCTGTAGGTGCAGAATTTTCATTCTTTACCACTTAGTTCGTGTAAGAATGGAAATTATTACACGGTCAGAGTGTGAAAGAATTATATTCATACACGCTCAAGCATAGAAGAAGGGAAATTATTATACACTAGTTGAAGAATATTTATTCTTACACGCCGCTCCTTATATTAATTATTTCAACATAGATCAATATTGATAAACAAATTATTTTGTAATTACCATTTCAATCTCAAAACTTTTTCGTTTTCAGAATTATTAAAATACCTTAATTCAGAAGATTCCTTTTAAATCTTAACCCTAGAAGAGTGGAAGGGGAGGGGGGCAACCCCCTGTATAAAATTAACATAGCCCGCATTTCTGTCTTTCTTTCTTTTTTTCAGGAAGATTAAGGATCTAATATCCAGCAAACGATTTCTTCTGTAAAGATCTCACTATTTTGATCAGTAGATTAAGAAAACTCACTACTTTCTAAAAACTCGGGGCACATTCAACATGCTATATTTTAATATAGCATACTCTTGAAAAACCGAGCAAATGTATTACAAATTGGTGACCTAACTAGACTAAGGAAATAATCAGACCACATGCATTATTTTCAAATGAAAACTCATCTTTTTAACATTTAGCATTATATAATTAGAAGAAAAAAAAAGTGATTATCGGAATAAGAACATCATAAAATGTAAAAACTTATTTGCAACCTTTCATAATGTCAATTGTTCCAACTTGAAATAGTCAAATTTCACAAGAAGCTTTTTTAACTATAATTTCTTGGGTATTTACTGTTTAGTCATGGAACCTCACAAATATGATATAATATTAATCTTCTGTAATACTGAAAATTCTTAACGAGATGAAACGATATGTTTAAATATAATTCATAAACACTATTTCTTGAAAATATTCAGAAACAATTTTTTACCCGGGTAAATTTAGATATAATTAGGAAATAAATTAAAATTTGTAGGCTTAACCAAATACATGAATTTAGATTAATTACCCCCTCCACCTCATGAATTACCTAGAGTGCGGAGGGACGGAGTAACCACAGGAATATTTCCTGAGTCAAGAAGCTGGATAAGGCGGGGGATAACGCCGGAGTTAACAACCTCCTAGAAAACAATAATGCATACATAAAGAAGCTAGATAACATTATATTAATTAGTTTTACCTGAATCTTGTCATTTGTCCCGTCAGTCAGGTAGGATAGGGCCCAACAGGCATCAGCAAGCACCTAGATTTAACAACGTGAAGTTTAGAACCAAATTTAACAATCCTTTAAAAATGTTATTTCTTTAATCAAAATTTATATTTTCATTTTGAGAATCACATTTTATCTTATGTTAAATATAATTGTTCATTATTAGTATTCGGTGTTATTAGCCAATTCAACCAACTTAAAAGGTTATGATTAAGTTTTTGTTTTAAAAATCCACGAAAATGCAACAGCTTTACTTTGGATAAGACTATAAAGAAATTAAGTCTTTTTTTGCTACATTCATAACTCATAATAACCAAGAAAAAAGCTGTGCTGTATGGAGGCTCGTTTACTGCATAGCGTAGGCTTTGTCTGCGTAGTGGAGGCTTGGTCTGCCTAGCGAATCTGGGAGGCGTTCGGGGGTTCCCTCCCTACCGACATGAGATGTGACCACACTGGTTGATAATAAGCAGATTTGCAGGTATCACAGGCAGACACATTTGTATCTCCCCCCCTCCCTATTTACACTGACCTAGATAAGAGGGGGGGGGGGGTACTGACCTCTGAATCATCATGATTGATAAGAGTGTTGAGAGTAGGTAAACATTGTTTCACCACCTCGAAGGGAGGGGGAGGGTTCTTGTTACGACACAGGTTAGAGATTGTCCAGGTTACATTCCTAATTGAAAAATACATTTCATAAGAAAACAGGGATGGACAGGGTCACTCAAAAAGGATGAGACTTCAATGCTCACTCCTACAAATTCAGTGATCTGAGAGTTACTCTTTGTCATCTGCCTTTGACAAAGGCTTACTCAGAAGCGTAAAACCGTGAACGTGAAACAAGTCTTAATAAAATTTTGGGATTTTGTTTTTAAAGTCTCTTTCTTAGCGGGTACTGGTAGTCCTGTATACTGAAAATATATTTATAAATTGGTAGCTGTTATTAACTTGTATTGCGTCTAAATGGTGCACTGTTATACAATGTTAAATGGTTATTACTTTTTCCGTTACAAAATCTACCATCTAGTAAATCCTTAAAATTTATACCCGGCATGGTATTAAAATTAAAATAACCATGTATACAAGGAGAATTAATAGAAGGAGGGGGCGATTGGGTTTCCGTATACTTGTCTGAGACGTTTTGGACTGCTGAAGAACTAGTTTTTGCGTAACAACAATAATAAAGATTGTAAACAATAACACAAATGATAAACACAGGGTGGCCAAAACTTTTTTGAACCCATCCGTACAAAAATCCGTACATTTTCAGAAGAAATCCGTACAATCCGTACAATTTTCGAAAAACAATCCGTACAATTTAAAAAAAAAATCAGTACAATCCGTACATTTTTTTAAACCAATCCGTACATTTTTAAAGATCCGTACATTTTTTTTAAAAATCTGTACAATCAGCACAATTTTCGAAAAAAATCCCATTTTTGAAAAAAAAAAATTAAAATTCAATTTTTCATTCGTTGTCTTTTGTGTTCAGTTCATGTAAGAGGGTTTAAACTTCTTCAGCAAGAATCAATCTGTAAAAAATTGGCTTCATACATATATACAAACTAAATACTGGGTACATGATACTAGGTGCATGATACTGGATACTGGATACATGATACAGGGTACATGATACAGGATACAGGANATAAGTACTTATGGAACATATTCTCAAATAAACACTTCTTGGACATATCTCGAAAATTATGAATGAATTTTGATTGTCAATTGAAACATTAATCAATCTAATATTATTTAGAATGCAGAAAATAAGTTAAACTAACTTCATTTTGACGAGATTTTTTTTTATTTTCATGAAAAATTTGCTGAAATGAGTGAAAATTTTAAAAAAAACGGTGTATTTTCCAGGATAAAATCCGTACAATCCGTACAATTTGAAAACAAATCCGTGCAATCCGTACAATTTTAGGGTTAAAAAAATCAATCCGTACATTTTGGCCACCCTGTAAACAGACATCTGACATCTCTGGCGCGTTAGATGAAGATTCACCGTACACTACCTCATGTTTGTTTACATTAGATCGGCTGCCTTTGTTATTGTTACGCAAAAACTAGTACTTCAGCAGTCCAAAAACGTCATAGCAAAGTGTACGGAAACCCTATCGCCCCCTCCTTCTATTCAATTCTCCTTGCATGTATATATAATAGAATGGATTGGATATATCATAGTCAAGGTTGTGTTTTTTTTTCGCTGCAGTATGTTACGACATTGGATCCTGGACTTGCAGTTTTTCTTTGGTTTTCGTTAAATTAATAAATGTCAAAGGAATATAGAAAAACATTGAAAGTCTTCACAACTTGGTGAAATTTAGCCTCCTTCTTTGCATCATAAGTTGTTGGGAGATACTCAAGATAACCTTGGATAAATTTAATATTTTGAATTTTTATAAAATTTCTCAATATCTCGGTCAATTTGTCGAGTAGAATTTTTTTTTTCAGGGGTGTTGGACTGTTTACCTGAGGAATATAATCTTGATATCAGGCATATTAACCAGGTTTAGCAGAGGTGTAACAACTCCATTGTTGATCACGAAATCCCTGAAAACAAATAGCCAATCAATGAACCTAATTAAAAAAAACAAATTTGAGTTTCTTACTATTTCTTAACAATTACAGGTCAATCTTTTTCTCCCTAATCGTTATGTTAAAAATACTAAGAAGTAGATGGAGTTGATAAAACTGTGGCGTTTTTGGGTAGGTCAAAAACGAATTTTTTTGTTGACAGATTGCAAGTTAATGGACATAGTTGCTTGGTTCGTTAAGGATTTAGAACTGCTGAAGGCACCACACAAATGATGTGATCCCAACATTTCAAAACTTAGATTTTTTTTATCAAGAAAATAAGAAGAAAATAAGAAAAAAATAAGATTGTATGTTTAAAAACTATCAATTTTGATCAATTTTAGTTAATTTTCTCAAAAGGTAAAATTTGTAGGGAGAGGAAATGTTAGAAAAAATCCAATGGACTTTTTTAATTTAAAAAAACCTTTGCGACATTTCACAACAAAAAGGCATGGCGAGGCATTATATGTTTAGAGGTCTGAACTTTGGTGTGTGAAGAATTGTTATTTACAATATCCATTAAAGCACTTAAAATAAAGCTTTCATCCCTCAATAAGATTTTTGCCCGTTATTGGATATTGATCCCAGATTCACAGTACAAGAGTTCAGCCTTCGTTAAATGGGTGGGTTACTGTGTATTTATAAGAATTAAGAAAAAAGTAATATTTTTGTAGATCTGAGGGGAAATACGAAAAATTGGACATGAAAAGGTAAGTCTGTTAATAATTTTTCATACTATTTACTTTTTACTTTGTTAATAATTTTTCATACTTCTAACTTTTTAATTTTAAGTTTACTTTTTCCCTAAAAAGCATTTATTTTTCACAATTAAGCAAATAAACTAACAAAAAATTTTGCAATACGCGCAACTTCTCCGAACGTTGGGGGGGGGGGGGGGATGATTATTTAGGAAAATTGCACCCCTAGTTCATTAAGTTCCACAATACACATTTCATAATTAAAAACGAGAATTCCATTAGTATCTGGTTCTCTCTAGTAAAGTTTTAAATTACAAATTACAAAATTAAAAACGAGATTTCCACTATTATGGTTCTCTCTGTACCTCATATTAGGACCATCTCCAGCAATATTGCCTAGAGCCCAGACAGCCTGCTCGCACACATTCTCCTCTCCAGACTTGATCAAGTTTATAAAGTGTGGAACAGCACCAGCCTGAATACAAAAGGTCAAGAGTTAACATTTTTTGATAAAGTCACCCTTGTCCACCGAGGGGAGGACGGCAAACCACAAAATTTCTCGTCAGTCACAGTATCCTTATTCCAATATAATTTTTTACGTATCTAATCCTCCTAGATAAACCTTTTTTAAAGATCTGACCAAGGTAAGGCATGAGTGAAATATTGAAATTGTGAAAATTGAAAAAAATGCGTCAATAGAAAGGGAGGGGGGGAGGCATGAATAATATTACTTTCCGGAAAATAGTGTTTAGACATAACTTTGTATTGTCATAGGACGCTGATTTTTTTGCATGACAACTCACTTATATGTATTGTAACTGCGAAATGCAATTTCAAAAAGATCGGTGCAAATGTGCGCGCGCGCAGTTAAAAAATACGATTTTTTCAAGTTTTCGCGTGCTTTCGTTAAATGAACTGGAATGCATTGCCTCTACGGAACTTAATAACTCAAGAAATGTTAAGATATTTAAAACAGGACTCGAGAAAATAACATTTTAAAACTGTGCCAGGTATCAGTGTTACGGAGGATGATACTGTCCAGGATAATACTAAACTGAACACTGTTCAGTCCAGAACCAACACAAAATTTGCCTTATGGACCCTTGGGTCTCCTGCGAATAACTATTCCAAGTATTCCAGTTAAGTATAGTTAAAACCATAGCATTTTTCTGGGTAGTTCCTTGGGGAAGAGGTATGCCAAATATTTTGAAATTTATTTTAAATCGCGAAAGTTAGCCATGCACCCATCATTAGAGATTTAAATCTAATCTAAATAAAGTTGGACATCATTCTCATGGGTTTGAAGATCCAACATGAAGTAATCATTGCAATACTTGACTCTTATCTTATCTACATTGTATGCCCTAACGTGGCCAGATTTAAAAAAAAAAAGTTATCTCTGAGAATCAGAAATTTTAGTTTTAATAATCAAAGGAAGAGGATTCTGAGAAGGCTCGGATGAAAAAATAAGAAAATGTGGCTCGGACGGGAATATAAGAGAATGTGGTTCGGACGAGAATATGAAGAGAATGTGACTCGGACAAAAAATTGTTGTGGCTAGTCTTCCTTCTCTCGTCCACTCCTCCCTCTATCCCTCGTCGTATTTTGTCCCCAAAGCAAAGTCAAAATAAACTTTAACATTCTTCAGTTTAAGCAATTTTTTATGCGGCTGAAATATTTGCGGATATAGTGAATCTATATTTAGCAAGCTGAAATATTTGAGACTATAGCGGATCTATATTTAGGAAGCTAAAACATTTGCGGATATAGCGGATCTTTATTTAGGAAGCTGAAATGTTTGCGAATATAGCGGATCTATATTTAGGAAGCTAAAACATTTGCGGATATAGCGGATCTACATTTAGGAAGCTAAAACATTTGCGGATATAGCGGATCTACATTTAGGAAGCTGAAATGTTTGTGGATACAGCGGATCTATATTTAGGAAGCTGAAATGTTTGCGGATATAGCGAATCTATATTACTGAAGATGAAATGTTTGCGGATATAGCGGAGATCTATATTTAGGAAGCTGAAATGTTTGCAGATTTAATCTTTGTGGAGAAACAATCTCAAGAACTGACGAGGGTCAACCCAAACCGAAATATATTTTCAATAAATGTGGAACTAGCATCTACTTTTTTACTCTACAGAGGTTTGGTTCATCACCATCACTGAATTTTAAATCTATGTTAAGGAAGCTGAAATGTTCCGGATATAACGGATCTATATTTAGGAAGCTGAAATGTTTGTGGATATAGCGGATCTATATTTAGGAAGCTAAAACATTTGCGGATATAGCGGATCTATATTTAGGAAGCTGAAATATTTGCGGATATAGCGGATCTATATTTAGGAAGCTAAAACATTTGCAGATATAGCGGATCTACATTTAGGAAGCTAAAACATTTGCGGATATAGCGGATCTACATTTAGGAAGCTGAAATGTTTGTGGATACAGCGGATCTATATTTAGGAAGCTGAAATGTTTGCGGATATAGCGGATCGGGATCTTAACAATGCCTTGTTTACCTCAACCACAGCCTTGGTCTGCTCAGATGACCCACTGGCAATATTGGTGAGAGCCCAGGCAGCTTCAAATTGTAGATTGGGCTGATCAACACGACCAAGGAACTCAACCAATCTTAATAATGAAGATTCAACATGTGGTATATTTTCTTGAACCATTCCTCCCCGTTCTTCAAAATTATTTTCCATATTATTTAATTAGTTTCAGGAATTCAGATCATTTCAACTGGAAAAATATAAGAAAAATATGTCAGTTACAAAATGAAGATTAAAGGCCGAAGGGGTATATTTTCTTGACTACCCCCCCCCTCTCCCCTTCATAAGTTATCTTGGACATTAAGATATTTTTTAAAACCCTCCCCCCTCCAGACACTACAAAAAAGTATTCATTTATCCCTGAAAATCATTTATATTCCCCAATTATGCGAATAAAAACGCTAAAATTACGCTTGGAAAAAAAGATTTAAGAAAATATACACCTCTATTTAAAACTAATATTAATTTTTTTTTTAATTTAAGTTTCTGAAAGTACAAACTAGATATTTTTTAAGACATGCGTACCTGGGTAGTATCCCTAGATTGATGAACACATCAATTGGAGGATTTCGCTCACGGCTCAAAATCTTACGCGCAGATTGCGTAGCCTAAAACATGCAACAAATTATCTTCAATACTTCCAAATACTGAGGAAAATGCTTTATATAAACATAAAAATTATGCTGAAGGGGCCTCGACCGTTAAGTGAAGGAATGTGTGACATGTCCTATTCCATACAATACCCTCGAAAGTTATGTTTAATCAAGAATGCCGAATGGAAATTATGTCAACGTGAAGTTTTTCAGAAATTTGATTAATTGTTGTTCTTTGTACAAGTGATGGGCGGAATTTTGTGAATGAACTATCAAAATTGATCAGTCACTGTAAGCTTGAAAAATGACGAAGTGTTCAAAATCGTAGAGAATCGAACATGTCCCTCAACAATAGTGACTTAAAATTACGCCCTATAGTCAATTCAAGTAAATAAGAACTCTTCATTACTATCGGAAACTTTGAATTTCAAAAAACGACTAGGATTGTCAAGAAATATAAAAAAATAAAATCCAAGCGTACAATTGAGTATTTGATTGACCTGGAATTGACGGACTGGATCTCCACACAGAATACCATTCTGGATCTCTTCTATAGAGAGAAGAGCTGCTGCCTGCTTACTCTCCTGATCCAATAATTAGACAAATAAATAAAGTTCAGAAGCGTTTCGATTGGAAGACGTATTATTCTTCATTATCCTGAAAACCCTCCCCTCTTTTTTTCTCCTTGAATTTAACTGGATTCTCGGAAGCTGGGAAATTAATTGAATGTCGATAAAAAAAAAACTTTTTCTAGGGGAAACCCTCAAGTAATAGAAAACCTGACCCTTTTACTAAAAACTGGAGATTGAAGTGAAATTTTTTTAGTCTTTCCCCAAAAAATATAACCCGACCCAGATATAATAAACACCTGGAGAGGACTCAGAGGTTCTTCATCAGTTGCAACATTCCTTCTTTTAGAGAGCATATCATCCTTCTTGTTCTTTCGGAGCTCCACAGACACCTGCAAATATATTTATTTAATATTCCAATGAATATTAGGACATCCTGTATTAGAACCAACAATTTAACTCACTAAATGGTCATTTAGAGGAAGGGAATCTCCTGCCGTCATGAGCCTGAACTTTGCAGATTTATTAAGCAGTACGAACCTCTGCCATACATTAGAGCCTCCGCTATGCATTAAACGAGCTTATGCAATAAAGCACCGCTTTTATAAAACTTGGTTTTACGTGCAACGAGATAAAAAATTTTTTACAGGAGAACGAGGGCTGCAGCTAGGCCGAGCACCGCGGATAACCTGAACATTTTATAAAACTGAGACAGAATACTGAAAATACCAAAATCACAGTGCAACCAATTTAGTCCCGACAAACCCAAAGGGTTACTCAAAAAATTAGACTTCAAAGACGATTGTACTAAATTCATACTTCAGTCTGCTGGGTCCGTCCTAGTATACGATTGTTGGACCCCCCTCCCCCTCCTCCAATCAATGTTGTGCATGACCACTTGTTTTTCAGCAAAACTTTAATAGTTTATTTTTATTATTTTTGAGTTGACTATCCTGGGCCGAGGTCTGCGGCAAGGACCGAGCGCAGCGGCTAGGACCGAGCGCAGCGGCTAGGCAAGAGCGCAGCGGCTAGGACAGGCTAGGGGGCCGAGCGCTGCAGCCACATGGGTAATTTCCTAGTATACGATTTTTGGACCCCCCCCCCCTCCTATCAATTTTGTACATGGGTCTGACAAGAAGTTTCTTAACTTAACCTAACCCGTGGCCGCAGCGCTCGGCCCAGAAAGTATCTTAACTTAACCCAACCCTAAATAACAAAAAAAATAATAAATTTGCTGAAAAATGAATGGTCATGTACAAAATTGATAGGAGGGGGGGGGGGCTGGGGGGGGTCCAAAAATCGTATACTAGGACAGACCCGCCACATGATTAATTTTACAATATGTAACAAATTGATGGGAGAGGGGGGATAGAGGAGGGGTCCGAAAATAGTTCTCTAGGAATTTACCCGGCAATGATTCCATGCATTAATGAACTTGTTCAATATATACTAAATCATAAATTATGCTGAACATATTTTCAAACAAATATTCCATCCAAGAACTTAGTTTTAATTAGTTAAATGTAGTCTTTATAGGCTCATCTTAAAATCCTGTAATTTACATTTGTTGGAGCGGGTCTGTCCTGAACGACTTTTGGACCCCTCCTCGCCCCTCCTATCAATTTTGTACATGACCATTTTTATCCGTCAAATTTATTGATATTTATTTTTTTTATTATTTTAGGGTTAGATTAGGTTAAGCTCATTTCTGGTCCGAGGGCTGCGGCTAGTACAGGCTAGGGGGCCGAGCGCTGCGGCCACAAACTTTCTGGGCCGAGCGCTGCGGCCACGGGTTAGGTTAGTTAACGACACTTTCTGGGCCGAGCGCTGCGGCTAGGATGGGCTAGGGGGCCGAGCGCTGCGGCCACGGGTTAGGTTAAGTTAAGAAACATCCTATCACACCCATGTACAAAATTGATAGGAGGGGGGGGGGACTCCAAAAATTGTATACTAGGAAATTACCAATACAAAATTGATAGGAGGGCGGGGGGAGGGGTCCAAAAATCGCTCTCTAGGAAATTACCAATGAAGCATACCTCGTTTCGTCGACGCCTAAGTTCGTCTTTGTCTTTCCCGGCATTTTTGAAAGCCTTCAGACGATTCTCGTTATTGGTGGGGACGGCTGCGACAGGCATTTTATTATCTAGAAACCGACAGCTTCAATACAACTATATGATGCACGTGCAGAACTTATAAATGTCTTTATTTGAAAATATTGCCGACTTTAAATAGTTGATAACTTAATAAGTGATAATATGGAGCACAACGACTGATACGAGTTCACTTGGAGACTGACATCTTTTTATTTTAAAAATTTCGCGCAATTTACAGATAATTTGGCGGTTTGAAGAAAGAAAGAATGATCAGCTGATTTTACTTTTTCCGGTCTTAGAAATAAATATTTAAAAGACGACATTTATAAAAGCTGTTGTTATAAGAAAGAAGTTATGTGAACTGGACTAGCGCTTAAAATTGGGAAACGGAACAACTTGTTAAAAAAATCTAGTCAAAGGGTCTTAGGGTGTTTTGAATAAACATGAATTAGATATGTTTTAGTTCTTAGTGGGAGCTTAAATAATACAGGGGGGAAATTCCGGGGGGTATATAGCTGTGAGGGTCAGCCAAAGTAAACTTATTCCATAAACCTCTTATTCATGTCAAATAAGGCTTGGCCCCTTAAGATTTTTTTTTTTTTTTGAGAGAAGTTTTTAATTTTTTTAAAATGTAATGGATTAGTAAAGAAATTCGAACGAAAACCCGTTATTTCATTGAAAACTCCTAAAATAGGATTTTTCATCATGTTACTCTGACTAAATCAAGGATTTGGTGTGCTGCTGGAGCCCCTAAATCTTTTCTTTATGGCTGTTAGAATCTATCTATGTATATAGATTATCCCTAACTAATTACAGGGCTTTCTTGTGCTCTTGCCATAAAATATATGTTTTTCATCTGTAACAAAGACGACATCTAAATATATTGCGGGCTTACTTAGGATCCATTTAAGGATAAATTTATGAACGGTTAAGGAAACTATAAATTGAAATCTAGATACAATTCAAATAATGTTTGAAAATGAAAAGATTATCAAAATATATTCATTTTGTTCATTCTCACCATTGACACATAATACAAATGCATTTTAAAGGGACAGTAAAGGAAAAATGAAAGGGGGTATAGGCTGAAAGCTAATCACTTTAGCTCTTGATCGAGAGTAGCCAATGCCATGCCCTCCCCTTTTCCCCAAAAGGGGGGAGCACTGGGGGCCGGGCACATTATCTGAAGCAAAAAAGAAAATGAAAAAATGAAAAGAAGGAAAGAAAAAATGAAAAAAGAAGAAGAGAAAATTTGCAAAAAATTGTAATTTTGTTTCCAATATCATGTGTTATAGATTATTTTTCTTAAAATTAAAGAATTATTTTCTTTGAATAATTTTTTGTATTTTGATAATTAAACTTATCTTTCTTTTATTATATAGTTTAATGATTTTATTGAACTATCTTCACCCAAAAGTAACTACATATATAATAATATAGTAGACAAATTGAATTTTTTTAAAAAATATTGCCAGGTTTAGGATAAACTGTTTGTTCACAAATTCAAATTTTAGTTTGGGGGAAACTGAAGATTTTCATCAGATATTTAAGTTTAATTTAGTTGATACTTATATTGATTATATTAACAATAATAATGATAATAATAATGATAATAGTGATAATAATAATAGTAACAATGATAATAATGATAATAATAATAATAATAATATAAATATTAATGAAAATAGTAATGATAAAAATAATAATAATTGTAATAACAATAATAAAAACTAGCTGACGTGCCCGGCGTTGCCAGTGAAATTTAAAGAAATCTTGCAAAAATAATATGTTTCGAAAGCATTCAAAATTTATAAAATAGAGTTTTGAAGAAAATTTTTTCTTTTTTTAAATTTTTTTCAGCCTATGTTAACCCAGTAATACCCCTGACTTATTTTATTATATAGATTGAATAGTAATAATTAATAATAATAATAATAATAAAATAATCATAATAAATAATTATTAATAATAATAATAATAATAATGATCATGATAATAATAATAATAATGATAATAATAATATTCAAAATGTTATAGTAATAATTTGTACTTATATCTAACTAAAGAATTAATCTAGTATTACCCTAAGACGACATTTGAACCAGTATTTCTTCCAAAACTATTTATTGCTTGAAATTAAGTGCAATTTTTATTACCTCTAATAGCAGGGGTACACATATTAAACACCATTAGATAAATCTGATACTGACTAAATAAATTACTTAAACATATCTTTACTCAAAACTACGCTCACTTAAATTGAGAAAGGGGAGCAGGGAGGGGGGGGAAGAGAGTCCTAGAGAAGCTTAATCACCTTGTGTATGCCTTTACACATGTACACCAAAAGTACTCAATGACATAAGAACAGCCAATGTTCACAACCGACCTAGATAATCTATATCATAGGAATATCTTTAAAACATCTCTTTACATTTATATCTTTCAAGATGAAAAATGTCGTCTTATGCGCAATCTATCTTTATCTATGTTTATAACTCGATTGCGTAACTCGATTAATGTATGAATCTTCTTTATAACCTAAATATATTTACAACTTTTCATGATATAAATGTATGTTTATAACCTATTTATATTTACAACTATACAAAATAATATATGTTTCTTTAACCTAAAAAATGTACAACTCTACAAAATGTAAATGTTTGTTTCTACCATCCATACATTTATAACTCTGCCAAATGTAAATGTATATTTCTATTCTAAATATATTTACAACGCTACAAAATGTAAATGTATGTGTTTAGCCAAAATATATTTATTACTATACAAATGTTAAAATATAAAGGAATGTTTCTACAGTGATAACCAGAAAGCTGCAAAATAGGAAGACGACATTCAGACAAAACAGAAGTACATTTTATGTTCGTTCAAAGCAAATAACTTCACTAATAAGTTATAAAATCAATAATTAAGTGAAATGGGTCTGTTTAAAATGCAATTGCTCTCCCTTATGTTCATTGAAATATTTATAGTCATAAATAGAGTGTAAAAGTCGACTTCCTATTCCAGAGTTTTCTGGTTATCACTGTATCCTAAATACATTTACAAATTACCGGAGAAAGGTTAGCAAATTACAAAATGTCCATTTATGTTTCTAACTTATATACATACATTAACAACTCTACAAAATTTAAATGCATGCTTAAAACCTAAATATATCTATAACTATATAAATGTTAAAATGTAAATGTATGCTATCTACCCTAAATACATTTTCAAATTACAAAATGTCAATTTATGTTTCTACCTTAACTACATTTAAAACTGTAAAAAAATGTCAATGAATATTTCTAACTTATATAAATACATTAACATCTTTACAAAATATAAATGTATGTTTCTAGCATAAATATACATTAGCATCTTTACAAAATCTAATAGTATGTTTCCAGCATAAATAAACATTAACATCTCTACAAAATATAAATGTATGTTTCCAGCATAAATAAACATTAACATCTCTACAAAATATAAATGTNGAATACAGGGAATACAGCGAATAAAGGGAATACAGGGAATACAGGAAATACAGGGAATTCAGGAAATAAAGGGAATACAGGGAATACATAGACATGTATGTTTCTAGCATAAATATATTGACATCTCTACAAAATATAAATGTATGTTTCTAGCATAAATATATTAACATCTCTACAAAATATAAATGTATGTTTCTAGCATAAATATATTAACATCTCTACAAATTAGAAATGTGTGTTTCTAGCATAAATATATTAACATCTCTACAAATTAGACATGTATGTTTCTAGCATAAATATATTTATATCTCTACAAATTAGAAATGTATGTTTCAGCATAAATATATTTACAACTCTATAAATTATAAATGTATGTTTCTAGCATTATATCTCTACAAATTAGAAATGTATGTTTCGAGCATAAATATATTTACAACTCTATAAATTATAAATGTATGTTTCTAGCATAAATATATTTACAATTCTACAAAATATAAATGTATGTTTCTACCATAAATATATTTACAATTCTACAAAATATAAATGTATGTTTCCACCATAAATATATTTACAACTCTACAAAATGTAAATGTATGTTTCTAGCATAAATATACATTAACATCTCTTCAAAATATAAATGTATGTTTTTACCCTTAATACATTTAAACTTAACAAAAAATAAAAATGTATGTTTCTAAAATGTACAACTCTACAAAATGTAAATGTATGTTCCTAGCCGTAAATATATTTATAACTACACAAAATGCGAATGTATGTTTCTAACCCATAGAGAATAGAATATATATTAGAGAGAAATTTAAAGAATCTCTCGGTATGAATTTTTTCAGTCCCTTTCAAAGATTTTGTTATCGAATTTCTGAGACGGGGTTACTCTGTTGTGTGTATTTGTGCGGCCTATCGGGAAAGAATTGTCCGGGGAAAATAAACATCCCCCACCAGAATCCTAACTGGCCTATTATCCTGATTTGTCTAGCGTGTTGCTGTTTTCCGTCAACAAAACTTTATAATGAATTGATTTATAGGTATAACGGAAAATCATCGTTTGTAAAGTGAAAGGCATAGAGTTTATGTGAAATGATCATTGGTCAATTATAAAACCTGCCTATTTTATAATTTGGTCTTCTATTAACATTAATTTTAGATTTTCTATAAAATGATATTCCAGGGCCCAAAAGGTTATATGGCATAAATATGTGAAGTACACCTGCAGTATGGAAACAGTACAACAAAATGGCCGTTTTACACTTTTTCTAGTAAATTCCCCTCTAATATCTGTTCTATTCTCTATGTTCTAACCATATATACATTTTTAATTCTATACAAGACGTAAATTTATTTTTCCAGATTAAAAACAAGTTTTGATCTTATCTATTATGTTGAATTTTGCTAAGCACTGTAATAATAATTCCAATCGTGTAATTATAATATTTTAATTTTTCCAGTCTGATAGGAACACTTTATCTTTTATGTTTTGGGATTTATAGATGTTTATACACCCTTTGTATTTTTCTCTTGTCCTCTGGGAATGCCAAGTGGAGGCAAGCCACTGCCACCCCTC